AATATTTTTACCCTAATCGTTTTACGGAATCGGGTTTGTTTTTGACCCGTTACTCTTTGCATATGAACCACTAAAATCCATAAACTAGCGTAAAGTCAACTGAATTCATATCGACATAATTTCATTTCATTTCTCCTAATATTTAGAAAAGTCAAAATATTACTTTTTGTGGTCAAACCATAAATGAGTTTTTAACCTCATTAATCATTATCGTGAAAAATAAAGATCTCATTATTGAGGAGGTTTTGATATATTCAGAACATGGTCGGTGACTTGATGCTACACTAGCTACTAGTAGTTAGTTAAAGAAGATAAAAAGGCTTCACATACCATTACTAAAAAAATACAGGTTCACTTATTTGATTAGTCACTTAAGTGGTGAAATTAGAATATTCGGTTTTAGATATAAAAACAGTTGGTGATACAATATTAAAATCTTAGTATATTTTTTCTTCCGCGAAATCATTTATTTCCACCGATCGACCGAGCAACAAAGAGTAAAAACCAAAAAGGTTGGTTCAAGTGGGATTCACACATTACAAGATTCAATGGATTTAGATTTTATCCGAAACAGAGAAGCAGTAGCAATTATTTTGTGTAAGTAGACAAGTACACGTGGCTACGAATGATTGGAAGGTAATAAATGTAAAAATGACAGATCCTTAAAAAATCCATTTAGATATTAGATTCTCTTCTTCTTCTTCGTAACAGGTAACGGTCCCGTTAGATTAGGTGAAGTGCCTTCGCCACCACCACTTGTTCTTCCTCTCACTAACACTCATCACGACATCCAATGCCAAATTCACGCCGGTTATTTACAAATAATAATCTCACGGCGTTAGAATCTCTAAAGGAATATACAAAATTGAGTTAATAATACTCAATAGTCAAAAGGCCTATATATGTATTTTTCTTTACTGATAGGACCGTTGAAAAAGAGTTGGGACCTTTTGGTATCAATTGGTTAAAGCTTAGTATTTCGAAATCGGAAATGGACACATGCGCCTGCTAATTTTGACAATAAGAGATATTTCCCATAAAAAGGTTACGTATTTAGGAATTAACGAAAAAATAGACATGCATTATATATAGCAAATTAAGATGGAACGTATACTTTTCAGAGTAGGAGAACAGACTCTCAAGTTTTTGCTTCATAAAATAAAACCGCTACTTCCATTTACCCCTAAAGGTTCACTAACAGTAAAAAAATTATTGAGTTTCTTGGTTTTCGTTTGTAAGGTATTTCGATCGTAAACAATGTATCCGTTCTTTTATTTCACTCGAAAACCATTTAAAAAAAAAAAACCTATATTGGCCTTGTGATCCCAAGCATATATTAAATATTTAATTTGTTGTATGTAACGGCTAAAAATGTTAGGTCAAGTTCAACATGTTACTCTCCACAAGTTATCCAATAAAAAAAAAGTCTATTTTGTTCTTTTATGCCATATGAATATTGACATTTTTATAGAGAAAAAGTACTAAGAATAGAGAAAAAAAGTGTGAAATGAGATGTATTTTAATTCAATGACTTTAAATTTAAGGAATGTCTTTATGAGTAAATGTTCATGTCACTTGACCAATGTGGTTTCAAAGAAATAAATGCAATTTGAAAAATCTTCATAAACAAATGTATAACTGTTTTGGAATTTCTTGATCCAAGAGATTGGCTTTATTGAAAAATTCACGTTCATTTTTTCTGAGCAGATATATTAGAAATAAAATAAACTAAATAAAAAATAAATATGAAGGGGACAAGTAACTAACCATTTTGCTTATCTAGAGTCGCAGGACGGCATGTGAGGCCGTACATGGTGCAGGATTTTCTGGGTACGTCTAAATATGTTTACTTTTTGAACTAATTTAAAGTAAACAGATATATCTGGATTTGTTGGACTGTTTATAGATATTTGAAAATTATCTTTTCAAAACTTCCTCTAACATTTCTTTAAAACAATACAAGCGTTCAAGTACAAATTTTCGATTCATTTTCAGATTAGTTAAATTCAAGAATACATTAAATTTCAGATTGGATCATCGCCAGTTTATGAATGAACTAGTTACCATATATCAGTTTGATGTCAAGTCAATGATGTAACCGATATATGTACATGTGTGTTCTTCTTTATGACCGTACGTACTAATAAGATTCTTACTCGAATTAATACGTCAAAAATTGTGTGCTATATATTTCCTTTTCATAGAAGACTATTTTTATGAAATCGCGAGACGCATATGTTACATATACTACAAAACAGTTTTAACATTGCGTTCACGATAGTGATATTCTTGGGAGTTCACGAATTTTATATATAACTAATGAAAAAATGTCAAATGGAGAAACTAGAGAGATACCTAAAACTATAGATATATTGCTTAACGATATTTCTATTTAATAAAACTAGAAAACCGTGGAATATATAAATTAAATCCAATAATAGAGTTAGAATGCATGAAACATTATGATAATAAAATTTGACTTATCTAAAAACCCACTGATTTTCTTTCAAATATAAATTTGTAAAATCACGAAATACCATACAATTTTACAGTAACGAAGTTCTAAAATATAAAGATTATGTTAAATTTGAGGACTATTTCTAAGACCAATGATCTAATTGACAAGCGTGATTGCAAGCTCATAGTCCACGCTACCTTCTAGTAATCATTTAAATTTAATAATTTTCACAGTAATTACGTACTGTATATTAGTTTTCTCTTTTCTCTATATGGGTTCCATGATTATATGTGACGTTAATCATAAAGATTATCTAGCGAGGTTCTGGAGTTGGACAAATAATCGGCTATACACGTTGTTACATAATAGAGTTTCATATTTATTATTGTATTTATATTTATAGATATATCTAATCTATAATGAAGTCAAGCTCTAGCATATATATACAAAATAACAAAATTTTATGCAGGTTGTAAATAGTCGAAGACAAAATGAATAGAAGAATATGCCAAGTCAAAATGAAGACTTCTAACATAAATGGAAGGGCAACTTTTGAAAAAAATGAATGGTTGCAAAAAATTGTACTAAAGAGGTCAACAAAATGTGTTTTCATTTTTCAGGCATGTACGTATGCGACTGTAAACTCCTTAATTGTTTTTAGGACTAAGCTAGTAGTTATATGATATATGGCTATTCAGATGTTCTTTTTATATATGTATAGTGTGCATTAAGGACAAATTTTGCCTCTTTTCTTTATATATATGACATGATTATTAATTTTTAAATATGTTTGTAAGAGTCATGTAAGTCAACTAGATGATAATATATTATATCTTATATTTTAACTTTGGCAATTAATTTTGTTAAGGTTCATTGAGCTGCAAAATTAAATACATAGTGAACTTATTTACTAGATAACCAAAACTATTAGCAACTTGGTAAAGAAATATTGTGGCAAACTGTAAATAAGTGATGTCTTTTCATATTTTATTCAAATAAATAGCATGATATATATCATGTAAAGTATGTTACTGTATACAATAATATAAAATTTGTTAATAATATACAAGAAAATCCATAATGATAAAAAATGTGATAAATAAACCATTTTGTTTACAATTTTTTTATCCATCTTTTTTGAGAAAAAAAAAAATTCTTCTTTTGTACATATTCTCTTTACCTAATTTATGAGACGTTTGTTTAGACTTAAAACACTTACATGAATCCTAAGACCACCATTATCTATGGGTTCTTAGCCAAATCTTAAGGTAAGATTTGTGAAGAAAAAACTTAAATATAAACCTAAAAACTCTTATATAAGAGCTCTTTCTTCACAAATCTTAGCTTAAGATTTGGCTAAGATTCATCTAAGAACCCATGAATAAGGGTGCTCTAAGAAGTTTAAACGTAGAGGAGTTGGAAATGACGAACTTGCATTATTGGGGGACCCATCACAATCAAAAGTCAATTTCTCAGTATATCTTCACAGGGAACAAATTTAATTAACACTATGGTATATATTCAATTATTAACATGTGACATCGTTCCCATTGCTGACCTTGCCATGAGGCACACCTTGGAAGGGCCAATATTTTCATTATCGCCGTTAGGGCCACAAATAACAATATAAATTTAAATTATTCCACAAATCTTCAATAACTTCTAAAACCCATCCAAGTTGATTCCGAGTCAATGCAGAATCCGACATATTGAGTACCATGTTCTATTGTGTTATTGCCGTATAACTAATTACCATCCACAAACAATTGATAAAATGTAAAATAGTAAACTAACTAGTTTTCTTACCTGCTTCATCAAGGTGTGTAGTTTTGTTACAAGCATTTCTGTCAAAATTTCAAGATTTAAAGTATTATATGTATTGTTGAGAAAGAAAAAATGGAAACAAAATCGAAGTAACCGATTATTGTTTACAGGAAAACCAAATTCAGAATGAAATATCTTTCTTAAAATAAAACCTAATAGGTGTCCCCAAAAAAAAAATGAAGAAGAGGACAGGCTAAGCAGCAAGTAGTATGTTGCTTAGTCAAATTTAATTAAAAATCCAAGCAGTGACACCTCCACCAAATATTTCTTTCTTGATATAATGATTCATGACAAGAGAAAAAACACACCAAAGTCTATGATCTTGTAATTAAAAAAAGAGATATTCCAAATTAGTTTCTCTTATAAGCTACTTCCTCCTTAGGATCCCTTTTAAAACTATAAAACAAAAAAATATTAACGGTAGAAAAACTTGTTCTCTAAAATTAATTAATTTAGTCCATAATTTAAGTGAAATTTAGGACCCACAAATATTAAAATTTTGATTCGGGTTCATTCATAATGAGAAGCCAAAATATTACACTAATCAACGGTCAAAGGGTGATTAAGAACTTAAAGAGGCACCAAAATAAATAAAAAGGGTAACAAATATTGAGAGACTACTTGTTACGATGGGACCCACGAAGAAGAACCAAAACGGCGGAGAAATTCGTCGTTTTTAGTGGCTTATAAAAAGAGGACTCGTATCGACTCTGCAACAGAACCACCTAATCTCTCCTCCTCTCCTTCTTTCTCTCGCCGGATTACGTATGATCGAGTGAAACGGCGGATAAAGCTGTCGTTTTGAGTACTAATTCGCCGCCGTTGGAGGTTTTTTTTTCAGTGAAGGAGTGGTGTGAGAGATGTCGAGTCTCGAAGATATCAAGAACGAGACTGTTGATCTGGTATATACCATTTTTCCTCTGTTTCTGTCTCTGTTTTTACTATTGCCCATAAACTGTTCGATGATTTGGCTGAATGAGAATAGATCTGTATATACTTGGTGGCTTTAAGCCTTTGCTTGGTTATTATTTACTCTCATTTTGGTTACGTTTTCGATATATACACATTTCAGTCGATTTAATTTTGAAATTGGTTTTTGTATAAAAATTTGTTTCTGGGTAGTAATTAAGTCTAAGAAACGTTTGGAGTAGATGAAGAGTTTGTTCATAAGAAAAAGTAGATCTAAGCATGTGATCTTATTCAAAAAAAGATAAGAAAACAGAGTCTCTTTTCAGTGGTGGAGCTAGCTACGTCTCAATAAAGTCCAAACCTACTTGTACAAAGTTTTGTCTTTTTTTTTTGTTGGTTAGGAGTTAGGACAAAGAAATAGTAAGAATTAATTCTGGTGTAACTTAGAAAAAATAATTATGACTTTAATCAATCTGTTACTTAACACGAAGTTTGGATTCTTTTTTTTGTTCTTGTACCTTTCCGTGGTACGTTTAACTTCTCTGTCTTTAGCAACCAACAAAAAAGAACACATCTTTTGTGCAGACGTAACTTTTTTTGTGAGTTTCTTGGGACAATAATTTAAAAATGCTACTTTTACATAACTTGGACTGTATTTACGCGACCAAGCCTCGATTTTTACGCCGGAAAGTAAGGGAATCTCGCGGCGCGTGTGTTACACGTCGACATCACGTTGGTCGGTGGTGGTGGTCCCCACCTCACCACCGGAATTATCCCCCGTCAAAAATCTTTCGCTGTCACCGAACTTAGTCAACGACTTTTTCAACTATGTGATCTTTTAAAATAATACTTATGAACAGAGTAGATCCATCAAGTTCTTTCTTTTACTAAAAAAAAGTTTCTCTTTTTGAAGATTTAGAACCAGTTGTGTGTTTGTGAATGTTTGAGTTAATTGAATTTGGTCATCTGATCGAATTTGCTTTTGATTATTCAGGAAAAAATTCCAATTGAGGAAGTTTTCCAGCAGCTAAAATGTTCAAGGGAAGGATTGACAACGCAGGAAGGGGAAGACAGGATTCAGATCTTTGGCCCCAACAAGCTCGAAGAGAAAAAGGTCTGACTTTGCATTTATCTTCTTTCAGATATTGAAGTTAGTTGGTCTCTTTTTATTTGTTACTGAGTGTCTTGGGTATTGCACAATGAATTTTTTACAGGAAAGCAAAATTCTCAAGTTTTTGGGCTTTATGTGGAATCCACTTTCATGGGTCATGGAAATGGCTGCAATCATGGCCATTGCTTTGGCCAACGGTGATGGTAGGCCTCCGGATTGGCAGGATTTTGTCGGTATTATCTGTCTGTTGGTTATCAACTCTACCATCAGTTTCATCGAAGAAAACAATGCCGGTAATGCTGCCGCTGCTCTTATGGCTGGTCTTGCTCCTAAAACCAAGGTATAGATATGATAAGAGAATGGTGTAAAGTTGTTATACAGAACTTTTCTAATTTTACCTAGAGCTAATGTTTTGGTTCTTGTTGTGATGTTTCTCTGTTTTAGGTTCTTAGGGATGGAAAATGGAGTGAACAAGAGGCTGCTATTCTTGTCCCAGGAGATATTGTTAGCATTAAATTGGGAGACATTATCCCTGCTGATGCCCGTCTACTTGAAGGTGATCCTTTAAAGGTTGACCAATCTGCTCTAACTGGAGAGTCCCTTCCTGTAACCAAGCACCCGGGTCAAGAAGTTTTCTCTGGTTCGACCTGCAAACAAGGAGAAATCGAGGCGGTTGTTATTGCCACAGGGGTTCACACCTTCTTTGGTAAAGCTGCTCACCTTGTCGACAGCACCAACCAAGTTGGACATTTCCAGAAGGTTCTTACAGCCATTGGAAACTTCTGTATCTGTTCCATTGCTATCGGTATGGTGATTGAGATCATCGTCATGTACCCGATTCAACGCCGAAAGTACAGAGATGGAATTGATAACCTTTTGGTCCTCTTGATCGGTGGTATCCCCATTGCTATGCCCACGGTCTTGTCTGTGACCATGGCTATTGGGTCTCACAGGCTGTCTCAGCAAGGTGCCATCACCAAGCGTATGACTGCCATTGAAGAGATGGCAGGAATGGATGTCCTGTGCAGTGACAAAACCGGGACACTAACCCTCAATAAATTGAGTGTGGATAAAAACTTGGTTGAGGTTTTCTGCAAGGGTGTGGAGAAAGATCAAGTCCTATTATTTGCAGCTATGGCTTCCAGGGTTGAGAACCAGGATGCCATTGATGCAGCCATGGTTGGGATGCTTGCTGATCCAAAAGAGGTATAACCCTTTCCTGTTCGAATTACATTTGTAGTTTTACTGAGGTTCCAAGAAACAAGTTCTTATGTTTAATTGGTATTTTCGCAGGCTCGAGCTGGAATTAGGGAGGTTCACTTCCTTCCATTCAATCCTGTGGATAAGAGAACTGCTTTGACTTACATTGACGGTAATGGTAACTGGCACAGAGTCAGTAAAGGTGCTCCTGAGCAGGTAATGGATCTTCAACCTTACAAGCTAATGTCTTTTTTTATGTTTCCAATTTATACTAATTTGATTCTCCAAACAGATCCTCGAACTTGCCAAAGCCAGCAATGACCTTAGCAAGAAGGTGCTCTCCATTATTGACAAGTATGCCGAGCGTGGTCTTAGGTCGTTGGCTGTTGCTCGTCAGGTACTTATTCGCCATTAATACTCATAGTTCTAGTCTTTTTTGTATTTCTTTTCTCAGTGGAAACAAATGTTCGACTGTTTGTCTTCTTATTTCCTTTTTAGGTGGTGCCAGAGAAAACAAAGGAAAGCCCAGGTGCACCATGGGAATTTGTTGGCTTGTTGCCACTTTTTGATCCCCCAAGACATGACAGTGCCGAAACCATTCGACGGGCTTTGAATCTCGGTGTTAATGTTAAGATGATCACTGGTACATTTGCCTACCCAGCTATCTTGTGCTAACTATACACCTTTACATGTCCCCCCTAACATTCTCTTGAACGACATATGTGGCCAGGTGACCAACTTGCTATTGGTAAGGAAACTGGTCGCAGACTTGGAATGGGAACAAACATGTATCCATCTTCGGCTCTTCTTGGTACACACAAAGACGCAAACCTTGCATCCATTCCTGTTGAGGAGTTGATTGAAAAGGCTGATGGATTTGCCGGAGTCTTCCCAGGTTACAATATACTTATTTCTTGTTTTGGATTATAATAAACCTCACTATATGTTCATTGCAAAGGTGGTGATGTTAGATCTAAGCTTCCTTGTTTGTTATTGCAGAGCACAAATACGAAATTGTGAAAAAGTTGCAGGAGAGGAAGCATATTGTTGGAATGACTGGTGATGGTGTCAATGATGCCCCTGCTCTAAAGAAAGCTGATATCGGTATTGCTGTGGCTGATGCTACAGATGCTGCTCGGGGTGCTTCAGATATCGTGCTCACTGAGCCTGGACTCAGCGTTATTATCAGTGCTGTTCTCACCAGCAGAGCTATTTTCCAGAGAATGAAGAACTATACTGTGCGTCTTCTCCTATTTTTCATTCTTAATTGATTACAACCACTTGCTTGCTTGCAATTGAAACTAATTACTCTGTTCTATTTTGTCTCTCTTGTTACAGATCTATGCAGTCTCAATCACCATCCGTATTGTGGTATGCAAATAACTCCGTTTGAGTTCTTGGCCTTGTTGGTTTTTTCTTGGATTAATCGTTTGCTGATCATATTGTGTTGTAACTTCTTGCAGTTTGGTTTCATGCTTATTGCTTTGATATGGGAATTTGACTTCTCAGCCTTCATGGTTCTGATCATTGCCATTCTTAACGATGGTGAGCAATGGCTGTCCTTTTCTATAAAACTAAAAATATGTTAACCTTCGCATAAATGTTTACTTATCTCTTTTGGTATTATGTTGCTACCTTAATTTTATAGGTACCATCATGACAATCTCAAAGGACAGAGTTAAGCCATCTCCCACACCTGATAGCTGGAAACTTAAAGAAATTTTTGCTACTGGAGTCGTTCTAGGAGGCTACCAAGCCATCATGACTGTTATTTTCTTCTGGGCGGCGCACAAGACTGACTTTTTCTCGGTACATACGATTGATCTAATTACTTTCTCTTTCCTGAAGTTTTTTCTTAGGTTCTTGTTCAGAGTTGTAAAGTAAAATTTCACTTTGGATTCACAGGACACATTCGGTGTGAGGTCCATTAGGGACAATAACCACGAGCTAATGGGAGCTGTGTACCTACAAGTTAGTATCATTAGTCAAGCTCTGATCTTCGTCACAAGATCAAGGAGTTGGTCATTTGTTGAACGTCCTGGGGCTTTATTGATGATTGCTTTCCTCATTGCACAACTGGTAAGATCATCAAAACCTACATTTTAAGGGACTTCTTAATGGGTAAAAAAAGGTTCTCAAAGAAACACTAGTTGAATCCATTCGTTCTTTCAAATGCAGATTGCAACTTTGATTGCGGTGTATGCCAACTGGCAATTTGCAAAGATTAGGGGTATTGGATGGGGATGGGCTGGTGTGATCTGGCTATACAGTATTGTCACATACTTCCCATTGGACGTTTTCAAGTTTGCCATTCGATACATCTTGAGTGGAAAGGCGTGGCTCAACTTGTTTGAGAACAAGACGGCTTTCACGATGAAGAAAGATTACGGAAAAGAAGAGAGAGAGGCTCAATGGGCACTTGCTCAAAGAACACTTCACGGTTTGCAGCCAAAAGAAGCTGTTAACATCTTCCCTGAGAAAGGAAGTTACAGAGAATTGTCTGAGATCGCAGAGCAAGCCAAGAGAAGAGCTGAGATCGCTAGGTAATTAAACCAATCACACCAGATTCGTTTTCATCTAAGTATACTCTTTTGTTTGAACTATACACTAATTGAATGATGTATGTGTTAAACAGGCTTAGGGAGCTGCACACACTCAAGGGACACGTTGAATCAGTAGTGAAGCTAAAGGGCTTGGACATTGAAACTCCCAGTCACTACACTGTGTAGGGTGTAAAACCAAACATGATTGATCTTCGATCTTCTCCTGTTTTGTCTTTTTTTTTTTTCTTTTTCTTCACCACCTCTTATGATGATTATTTACATAGGGAGAGATCTTTGTTTATTGCCATAACTCTTCCCAAATCTTATTGTTAGTGTTCTTGTTTCTCAAATCTGTAATTTTGCAAAATTTGCTCTTTTGACGAAACAAGGCATGCCTTTGTGTTTGGCATTTGGCACATGCACATTCTCTTCTTTGCTCTTATTCCATGGGCCTATGTAATCTTAATCTTCTTCTGTTACTTAATCCAAATTTTCTTCCGGCTTAATTACTTTTATAAACAGTACCAAAAAACCAAACAAAAATAATAGGTTTTTAGAGCAAACAATTTGCATTTTTGAAAGGGAAATTATTTTGATGTAAAGAAGGGGAAATAATCCAAAAACATTTCTTTGTTTTTTCACTGAAACCAAAACCAATTAAACAACACTATCCTTTAAAATGCCATAAAAAACATGACATGAGACAAGTTGTGTGGAAGTAGCTACTATAGTACGGCTAGAATCTTAAGAGAAACAGAGAGATTTGGATGAGTGCGAGCGACTGTGAGACACGTGCAAAGATATGGATGATGACTTCAAATCAATGTTACGACTTTCATAGTTTACACATATGTCATCTGACTTTCCTCCTTTTTAGATATTTATATTTTTCGACGTTTTTCTCTTACTCATCGAAAGTAATATAGTCTTAATTTTTGTTTTACTTTTTAATGGTGCACACTGTTGCTAAAACATTTTGGCGATCTCTACAAATGTGTAGCTTTTATTTAATTGAAGATTTGTAAATACATATGATTTTTTGTAGTTGAAAGATCATATGTTTTGGCTAAAGGAGAAAACAAAATTGTAGGAATAAAAATATAGACACAAAGTTTGTCAGCTTAAAATGATTAGAATATTAAAGTTTGGAGATTTTCACATAACATTAAAATAATAAATTAAGGGAAAAAAAAGACAAAACATAAGAATTTGATTTAGGCAACACATGCATCGTCTATTTGGCATTACAACCAACAATATAAATTTTAGTTAGATTTTGATCGATTTTTAGAAGATGTATTAACGGCCATGTGTGGTATTTTAGGTATTTTCGTAACCATGATTAATTAAGGATAGGAAAAGGAAAACACTATAATACATGCTCCTGTTCTTGAAGAAATTAAGAGAAAAAACACACAAGATGATTTTCGTTTAAAGATAAAACATAAAACAAACTATAAATTACACACTTAAACTAAAAGTCAAGTACTATCTTGAACAATGGACTTGAGAGCAATCGTCTGTAACTCAAGACATTTAATGTAATTACCAATCTCACTCAACATTTCTTCCACATTCATCTCTTCTCCCCCTGGCAAAAGCTTCTGCAATTCCCTCAGTTTCTCCTCTATCTCTCCTTCTTTGTTTCCACCTTCTTTATCGGATCTTTCGAGAATCCGAATTCCATCGGAAGAAGAAGTAGTAGTGGTTGGATTCGTCGAGGACGATAGCTTCTGTAGCAAGAAACGGCTCCATGCAAATTCTTGAGCAGACAAAGCCAAAGCCATGTCTACTTCATGCTTCACGGTTTGTTTTGAAGAGTTCTTGTTCATGTTGAGCTTCTTGAGTGCAGGAACCAAGTGGCTTGTGTATTTTCTCGTGAAAACTGCACTAGGGTTCTTGTTTGGTTCAAGAGAAAATACTCGCTTCTTCTTGTTTATGATTTGCCTCTCCATATGAGAAACTATTTTGCTGCAAAGGAAAGTCTACTACAAGGGAGAAAGTTACATATATAGCAAACTTAGAATATGAGAGAGACAGAGAAAGAGAAGAGCGGGGTCCTACGTTTGTTTGTATATAACAAGCGTTGATGATGTATAAAGTAAAGTTGTAGAACTTATTTTGAAGTTAATTTTCTTTGTATACATATATGAGGTAATATGTTTGGGAATGCTATTATTTTTCGTTCACGTACAAAACACAAGACGATTTAAAAGTCGTAGTTAATAGTATTCTTTTTTTGAGACATATTTTAAAAAACAAAGGACTACGAATATCGTCAAAAAATATTTGTAATTTTTGTATAATAATAGAATTAAAAAAAAATACATGAAGAGAATAATAGGAAAGAGAGTGTATATATATATACATAAAGAGAGAAAAAGAAGAAAAGGAGAATTTGGGAATAATAATGGGTGAGGGAAGAAAAAACACATGGAGTCACATGCAAGAGCTCTAATTTGGCTGCATCACAACTACCCCTAAAGAGGTGCTTTGAGAGACCCTCTTACCATGTGGCTCCATTCCAAGAACAAGACATCAATACAAAACCCCACCTTCTCTTAATGCCTTCACATGTTCCTCTCCTCTTAACCCCTCTCTCTCTCACTCACACACACACACTTTGTATATACATGTATGCATGTGTATGTGTCCTTGGACCAATCTCCTTCAATCTCCTAATTAATTTGATCAATCTATGTCATTTCTACCAATATTATCATAATATTGATCTCCCGCGTTTATACCATTTGACCCTTTTTATTTTGTTTTATGCTGCATGTGTGATGAATTTGGTTTCACTAGCCACTACTTTTTACCATTTTAACTTGCTAAAAATATTTTTGATTATAATTACTGGTAGTTCAATCGGTGATCTGTAAAACATCGAAACATCTTTGAATTCGAATTTTTCTGACCACTGCAATTAATATGACGTAGATTAGATACAAGTTTCTTTACTATATATATGAACATTAAGTTAATATGCAAATGTAGTCAAAATTTTGGTTATTAATACATGTTTTATTTGTCGAGGACTTTTGGCCTTGTGATTTTAGATTCTAAGCATCATTGCATTCCAGGTTAAATTTAAATATGAGATTTTTTTCCCTATAGGATTTGTAAATTGATAAATATAGTTTTTTTTTTTTTTTTTCGCCATTGATAAATATAGTTTATGTTGACACAAAAGGTAACTTTTGATATGATATGAAAGTCTGCGTACTACTCATTTATTTCCCTTTTTAATATATACCGATATATTTTAATATATAATAGTGTGTATATATAAAAAAAAAATGTCCAAAAAATATCCACAACTACTAAACATGGGCGGTTGAGACATTACAAGTTGTCTCTTAATCTATTGTGCCTAATACATGCAATATACACGTTACTAGCTTTTGTTGTTAACAGCAAAAACTGATGGGCTCTTCTTGATTTTGTTGTGTTCTTCATCCTACCACACAAAAAAAGTCAAGGGTTAGTAGATTATCAATTAATGCAGCAAGGAAAATTGCTTTCTCTATTGTAAATTATTTCTTATTTTGGTTGAAATGTGATGTTTTCTCTTATTATATTTTAACGCAATCCCATAATCTTTGATTGAATGTGGAAAACATGTGTTAATGGTAACCATCTAGATATATGCAATTAATAATTTTATTCAAATACAAATAGATTTAAGGTATTTGACTATACTGAAATCATATTAAATATTAGTTTAAAATATACATATATACAAAGGTAGAGGAATTTTCTAGTTGAAAACAAAAGAAATGATATCAATCTAAGAGGATAAAGAAAATGAGATGCAAACTAATAGATGTGCATACCAAATTACCAATAGATAGATTTTAGATATTCACACCTATATATAGTAGACATTGGACAATAATGCATATAATCACAAAAGTTTCTTGGAATTTTGCTTAATGATTTTCCACCTTTGACTATTTTAACGATCCACGTTGAAAAAATGACAGAATTAAATGTAACTCTTTACAATCACACAATCAAGCTAGGTAAAAACAGATTCGTAATTGTTCAATAGTATCTTTACATAAAAATATAAAGAAGCAATGAATACAACCAACTAATGCCAATAATATTAAAATATTGAACTAATTTTGTCTGTATGAACCACAAGAAATCGTACAAAACTGTCAGAATAAATTGTACAAAGTCTGTGGAGATTTCTATCGAATATTGTAGATGGCATGTTATGACTTGTTTGTGCTGTTCTTCAGTTTTGTTTTCTCTTTATATATATAAGCTTTTTTTGAATTAGTTTAACTGAAATAAATATGTGTAAGCAACAATAATATGAGAGCGGACCCAGATAGAGGAGAAAAAGATATGGCTTGGATTGGGATTTGGGAGGGACACATCTCATGTGGGTTTGAATTCGAGTGTTTTGTTTTTATTCTTAGTTTGGAGCTATTTTCACAAATGTCCCCACGTGCACTCACCACTTAACATTTCTTTCTATTTTTTTTTTGTTAAAGCTTAACATTTCTTTCTACAACACCTTCGTTTATTGGGAGTCAAAAAAAAAAAAAAACGCCTATATCTAAAATGTAATTAATGTCTTGTCTTCGTGATCAAAATTTTAGCATTACGTAAAATTCAGAGGATATATAAAATTTACTTTTAAAAAGGAGGCTTAATATAAAACTCTGTGCTTTTATTTAAAATATATAATCCAACGTATGATGAAAATATAGTAAATTACTTCATACTATATACCTATAGTTACTAATTTCTATTTTTCTCGATGACAAGAAATACATAAAATCCAGCTACTCTTTTTTTTTTCCAACCATTTTGCACTCCCACGTATTGTACGTCAGTACGTCTAGTGGCTTAACAATCTGTATGATTTGTTTCATCGATAGAGATTTTTTATTGTCTAGCTCTCTGAGTTTTATGTAACACAAACACATTTATTTTGTGTTGTTCTCTTAATTAGTTAAACATACCTTATATATCACTAAAACGAAAACGAAGGGCATTTGACATTATTTTCCGAAATAATTAAAAACGAAGGACACATTATTATAATGTCACACTATTTGGCAGGAATCTTTATATAAATTAAACTGTTTTGTAGTACATATAATGTAATAAAAATTTAAGAAGAGGACAAGGAAAACGCAGTAAAGATTTCCTTGTATTTGGTAGGAATTGCAACTACGAGTCTCATCCTCCTTCACACCTTTTTTTTTTCATTTTCTTCCTTTTATTTTATTTTCAAATAATATTTATAACTTAACATTTAGTAAAGCAGGAACATGAAATTTTATTGTTCTGCCAAAAAAGGAACTCAAAAGTGTACGACCAAAATAAATATGAGAATGAGATTATTGGGTTCTATGCGTTAAAGAAACAAAAACTTTTCTTTGTTTGGTCGGTCCATTGGTCCACATGCAAGTAGGCTTGACAAGGTTTTTAACAATATTCCAAACTATAACCATAACCATAAATTTGTATTAAATCGAGTAAATAACTATTAAAAATTTATCTGCAAAACATACATGTACGGCACACGAGAGATTTAAGAAAAAAACATGGTAGACACCCAAAACGACATACTAATTTACTCATGAAACAGATTTAGACAAAATAACATGTTGCTTAGAGAAATAATATGCAATTTGATCATTTTGTTTGATCTAATAGCACGCTACTTAACGTATGATTATAAGGGCATATGCAAGGGGATAACTTATCCCATGTTCTTACCATTAAAAAAATAATAAAATAAAAGAAAATGGTCTTAGAACACCCAAGAACTGTTCTTGTCCAAGAACTGTTTAGACATGTTCTTCTCTCCACCCAAGAACTGTTCTTCTATCTACGTTATTTTAATACTTAATTAACCCTAAGAACACCCAAATAAGTTATTCCGATAAATATGGTCTAAGAACGTAACAAATCTGAAAACTTTAAGTTACAGCTTTATCATTGATAATTTATTTATTAATATTTGTGCTCATTTATCTAAATAAATCATTTAAGTTTGGGTCACAAACGAAAGATCACTGAGTAGCCAAATCGGTTCGAATTTGAAAACATTGGTTGTAAGTAAAGAAAGAGAAGAAGCAGAAAGCTGTTATTAGTACTTTTAGATTGGGCCAGAATAATGGGCCTCTCCATTATAAATGCAACAAATCAGTAAGTCCAGTGTAGCCGAAGGCAAACAAACTAACAATAGCAATTAGCACATACAAAGGTAATTGCCTTTATGAATAATAATGAGGATCGAGGAGGATAGACTGGATAGTGCATCTTTTATAGCCGAAGGGAAAGATTTTAGCGCTGAAGATTTTTGATAACTTTATCAAGATAAATTGGTAATTTTCTTGTTTCAAATCTTTTATAAATGTTGCAACAAAATGAAGTTTTTGTCTCCAATTATCTTAACAGAAAAAAAAACTATCCAAGTTTTCTTCTTTGATTTTTGTATCCTCCCTGGAATACCATAATTATAACATTAAACGAACATTAAACGAAAGGAAAAGAGAGAAACGAAATAAATCCATTTTATTAATTCAAGTTTCCATTTTTCACACTGTTGAACTCCTTATTTTAACAACAAGAAATTAAATTTTTATTATACTTTTTTAAAAAAACAAATCATCTCAAGGAATAAAAGAGAAAAAATCTCAAGATCACTAATTGGCACGTGAACAATCCCTTCGAATCTCACCAGCATTACCAGTCAAAACACCAACCCGACCCAACTTGGTGATGGCTGTGATAAAAGCTTGTCTAAAAGCTCCTTCACTATTGGCAAACGTATTAACTGTAGATCTTGACCGTTGATCTGTAAACAAGATTTGATCTGACGAGAACAAACCCTTTCCTTGTTGGAGATTCTTGAAATAAGCATTATCGAAAGTACGTGGGCTGGTCGGATCCATGTTGATTGCGATACGTACGTCGACTCCGATCGGGCACATTTGCTTAAGCTGAGTCACGTATCCACTGTTAATAGTCGGATCGATACGTCTGCTAGGGCTAAAATTGTAGATTCTCTTTGTGAATTTTCCACAATGTGCAAATCCTATAGTGTGTGCTCCTGAATTATACACAATAATAACATTAATACTATATCATAAGACTTAAGTTAAAGTACACAAATATAATCGGTTAAGTTCGGTTTTGGTACCTGAGAGGGCGATCATATCGGTTTGAGAGAGACCGTGACGGCTAAACATGCCGTTGAGCTGGTTTAGGTTAAAACCGGGCTGAGGCAGTTGGTTTTGAACGCTGGACTGCGTGGAGATTCTGCCATCTCTCCTCCCTAGCTCCACCGGGTAGCTCGGTCCTCCGGTCTGCAATTTTTATTTAGTTTTAATTATCAGATTATTATTATTATTATAAAATCTACCAATAATTAATACATTTTTATTAGGACTATATGACCTGTGAAGTTGTTACTTGTATACTTATATTAAATGATTACAAACCGCCAATAAAAAGTGTCACTTTTCTAACAAGAACATGCTTTTTATATTTAATGATATGATTAGCTTTTTCGCACAAGAAAACTGAAAACGATATATACTGTAGAAAAAACGAATTTTCAATACCTCGGACATTATATAATATTAAAGGAAAAAGAGGGGAATATTAACTTATGTAGTAATAAATAAATAAAAATATTAATACCAAAACGACGACTTCACGAGTGGCGAGAGCCAAAATGTCAGCACATGAGACTTTGTTGCGGCAGTTGGGATTGCTATCAACGGCTTGCTTCGCCTTCACCACCGTGTCGAATCCGTCTCCGGCCAATGACATGTCATCTGGATGGTCTCTCTCCGATGGTGATGCTATCATTATTGACGCATCACATCCCTAAACATTCATATTAAAATAAGAACGTATACGTCAAGATAATGTTTTGTTTGAATATGATAAATAGTAAGACACACATCTTAAAATCTTAATCTAGACGTTTTGCTTAGATTTTGATCAACAATAAATTTTATATTGTAATAAAATATCAAAAAAAATATTGTAACGTACGCGAACGAAGCAATCGTGGAAGAAGAGGCGAAGAGTGGCCGGAGCGGTAACGAAAGTCTGCTGGAATTTCTGACGGACGGCGTTACGGACAAGGCCTTCGACGTTCGGACATGAGTTCTGGTAGAAACCTGTCCGGAGCTGAGCAGAGACACATGAAGAAAGGAGAAGAAGAAGAGAAAAGATGGAGAAGATGGTTTGGGCAGTATACTTCTCCATGGCTAATTCAATTAAATGTTTTAATCTTTAGAGTTCTTAGAGAGTCTCTTTTTATAGTAGATAGAAAGAGAAATTTAAATTGATAGGTATGGTACAATTTGGGCTAGTTAAAATATAATAATGATTTGATGATTATTCTGATGATGATCTGTTGAATGATATATTAAAATAAGGAGTAGAAATTGTTAGGAATGTGGATGTAACACTCCATCTAGATATTGACAACTTGAGAGGAGGCTAAGGTGAGGCATCGAGTTAGTATTTTAATCTTTCTATATTTGTCTTAATTAATTATCAAGTAAATCCAGAAATTAGCTGTAATGTAGTGATCTGGTCTATATTGGTCTAGACACTGATTGTTTTCTTTTAAATGTACAAAATTGTTCACTGCATACAGAAATTAGTTACAATTATTAAAAGAAATGTATATAGTTACTACAATATGTGTGTGTATATATATGTACATGCTTAGCCTTTTTTAATAACTGTATAGATGCTTGTCTTTGACAACTCAGTGGCATGTTACAAGTTTATCACTTCTCACCAACTACATAAAACAAGATCGAGAGGTGACAAGAAGAAGAACTCATCTTATTCATTTTACAAGTATGATTAGTATCTACCTTAAAATTTACCTTTACAACGTGGAATGTGATCGGATGTTGACTAGCTTGTCATAATTAACTAATTAATTATTTTATTGATTAAGTACTTGCAATTGTGAAATTATTAAAAATACTATAGGATAAGATTAATTAATTAAGAAATCAATCTAGTTGTACTCCAGTTAACACCTCAGTCATATACATATATATACTCACAAAGAGACTATTGATATTTTGTTATATTGCATATTAATAAGTAATTGTTTAGTTTTAAGAACCTATCAACCGACTTCTAACTTTGAGTGACAATTTTTTTGTTCAAACTGTTCATCATCCATTTTTTTTAAAGGTAATGGTTCTGAGTTCTGACATAAACTCGATTATATTCTAACTTTTACAAATGCTATAGCCTATATGTGAATATGGAACCAACACCACATCTTGGTTTCATGCGTACAAAGCTTCCTTTTCTATCCAAGAAATTTCGCCAATGGATATTTCAATATTTTACCCATCGCCAATGCCTAAACTCCGGACCATACTATACCTTTTGGGTGGCCATGGGTACAAATTTTACTTGGCAAGATATATGAAGTTAAATCTGGAAGCCAATGTCATTTAAATTGTAAAAACGATATTATGCTATCAGTACACTACTAACTTATAAATTGGATAAAAAAAAAAAAAAAAACTTATAAATTGGATGAAGAATACATCAAAGATATATACTCTAACAAAAAAAAACCTCAAATATCCAATAATATGTTTGGTAGACAATTAAGTAATGTGAGACGATGCAAAATTTCATATATATTATTATATTTTAATGTATTAGACCTAATTTTAATTGTCGTTAAGAAAATGATTAAATCCTGATTGTCGTATTAGGGACAGTTTTCTTTGAAATGATTAAGTGATGCACAATAAAACAAACTGTAAGAAAATTATACTAATTAATAAATCGGCGTCGCGGTCACGAACATGTTCCTTGATGCTGTAATATTGTTAATAATTTTTTTTTTTTTTATGCTAATTCTCACATGATAAAAAAAGAAGATACTCCCTCCGTTTCAGTTTAGTTGTCGTTTTATGATTAAAATTTTGTTTCATAATAGTTGTCGTTTTAGGTTTTCAATGCAAATGTTTGGTGAAAATTAATGTTTTGTCATTAATGTTTTAATGTTTTGACCAATGAAAAAATTATAAAATATATTAATAAAGGGTAAAACAAAAAATTTAATGATTTTCTTAATTTGTGTGCAAAAACCTTAAACGACAACTAAAACGAAACGGATGGAGTATAAGCTAACCTTGAAAAAGATAACGCAAGTCACTGTAACGCCAACTTCGAATTAATTTAATCATAACTGTAAAATAAGTTACTAACAGTAAACAAACTTCCAAAACTACCCATGATTTTATTATAGGAATTAGACGATAATTAATTTGAGAGCAAATGATTGTATCAAATTTTTTACATCCCTATGTAAATGGTGTTTCGACCATGTTATAAATATCCGATTTTCACACTAGAAATATTAGGATTAAAAAATGTAGGAAAAAAAGTTTGTTAAGAGATCTTACATCAATGACTAGTGACTTTACAATTTGCATGATGACACTATGTTAATAATTGCTATTATAGTTGTGTTCTCGCTTGGGTTGCTGAATATTATATCTAGCTAGATGAATAGTTCTGTCTTGATGATCCAATTAAAGTCTAAACTAGAAAGTTTCGTATAGTTATAATTGACGTCTAGAGTACGACAAGCTAAAAAGCCTAAAAATCATTAGGGTTCGTTAAGACGTCCAAACTAGTGAGATGTGGCAGTATGTGAATGTGATGAGTCTTATGACTCATTTTATACTATTAGTTCATTTGCTCCGAGTTAAATTGCACATTTACTTGACACAAAAAGTTTACATACCAAAAAGTTCAAACTCTGCAGTCTATAGAAACCACTAAACATATGTTTCGATGCAAGTAAAAAGATTAGGTCAATCGCCGCTAGTTGGCATATGAATTATTTGATCAAAGTTTTATAAACTAATATGATACTCAAAATCAATGTAAGAGTTTTAAGTCTTGACGGCTCTAATCTGTCACATGGCATCTAACCATGATTATAGGAAACGACGCCGTCTCAATCATCTTCTCATGTATTCAGTCTTTAGAGTTTAGACCTCTAGATGTAACATTTTCGAGATTTGACAGTATTACCAATCAGAATCAAATATCATGGCATTATAAATACTGTAGAAAGTTCTTGTTACATATGAATGAATTATTGAAAAATAATTATTTAAATGAAAAACACTTACAAAGTGGTAATTCGTTCTTTCCTTTTCTGGTCAACAAACGGTATTTCTATATTTAAGAGAAAATGTTGTAAAATATAATAATCTGAAGTTTAAAAAGCACAGTTTAGTTTGCACACTTTTGCTGTACACCAAAAAAAAACACTCAATCCTCAAAGTTCTGCAAAACAAAATTACAGAGTCAATTTGTTTTTATGAAATCTCACTAAATAAAATCTTACTTTTGAAACCAAATTTCCTCAATTTGATAGCAAAATAACCCCAAGAATAAATAAATCAAAGACTCAAGGTCAAAACCTGTGACCTGAAGAAGAAACAATCCCAAAATATGAAGAAAACAAAAATCTAATCAAACTAAAATAAAAAATGGAGATTGAAATAGAGAGAAACAAGCAAACAGATCATGAAAACAAATCAGAAAGATTTGAAGGAGAAGAAGAAAGAAAAATTAGATGAAAAGAAAACTGCTCTGGGTTGTTTTTTTTAAACAAGCCATGAAAAATGTATTAAGCTTCTCATGGGGAGCAGAAGCAGCTTAAAATGCACTGACACTGTCCCTTGTATCTTCTCCTTATAGCTGAAACCACAAGAAAAACCCAAGAAAACTTCACCATACGTTCTCTGTCGAATAAATAACGTATTTTAATGCTTGGTTTGCGACTGTGTGTGTTACCGGATCTTTTGGTGGAGAAGAAGAAGGATTATTTCTCAGAAAAGCTGAACAGCCATTTTGAATTTGTTCTGTTTCCATTTAGGCAGCTTGTAGAAAGCTTCTTTCGTCATACCGAATTTCTCCTTGAACTCCTCAGATGAAAGGTAAGCCTATAACAGAGACCAAGAACTGTAAAGATTTTCTCTACCATTGAAAAATTTTCACTTACAAATGAAATTTGTTTTTGGTTTCAACATACCTCTCTCCTTGTTACATCAATGTCTGAGACAGGATCAGTGGAAGTTGTCTTGAGACGTTCGTAAGGGTGAGCTGGTAAATCTTCCTCGTCTTCAACTCCTTCTTTAGCATCTTCTTGAATCGTCAGAGATTCTATCCGGCTGCTCATCGATTTGTCCTCCTCCTTGTCATTTTCCTTTTTCTCTTCCTGTTCTTTTGAGTTGGATTCTGGCGCTGGAGACTCGGGTGTCTTCGGGCTTGCTACATGTCCATTTAAAATAAAAATGCTCAATACTCAAAGTATAATAAGAGAAATCTCTAAGCCAAGATGCGAAAAAGATTGAAACTTGCAGATAGATAAAGATAGAAACTTTCAGATGATCACTCCGCAAAAATGTGAATCCTTAAACAAAGATGATAAATATTCACACTTTCAGATAATTTATTCCGCAAAACTGTTTTTAAAGTATACCTTTGACTGGTTTTGGAATTGAAGGCTCTTGGGGAGGTATTTTTTCGAAAAGTGCACTACGAGAAGCAATGGCTGAAGACTTGGGAGCGGGAGCAAACTTTGAGGAGTCAGGAGTAACAGATCTCGGGTAGAGTTTCCTAACTACTGGGGGAGGAGTTGAGAGGTTTCTTGCATTTTGGCTCTCAAATGTTGCTGCAAGTGCATTGAACGCTGGAGATCTGCCCCTCACGCGAACCCTGTCTGGACTAAACGACATGCTTCTTGACCGTTGCTGCGACTTGTCAGGAACGCTGGCACGGCCACCATATGAAGCTGGAGTTCTTCGTTTCGGTTTCTAATTAACAAAGGCACAACAAAAGAGAAGAATTAACAAACAAATTTTAAAAAGCACACTCTGAAAAATCATCAATAAGCAAGAAGAGTCATTACATCTGCAACTGGAGTTCCACCATTTTTGACAATTTTAAGTTTTCTTTGGAATGAGTTTCCATGCATCTGTAAGAAAAAAAAAGTGTTTAACCCTTTGTCAGGGCTTCCTTCCGTGTTTATTTCTCAGGGAAACCGATTGAAGTTGTTAGGTACTTACAACGGATTTTGAGGAATCCCAAGAAGTGAAAAACCGGGTGAAGAATGATGGCTCACCACCTTCCATGATTACATATATAGGGGCTTCAGGGGATAACTTCTCCAGGAGAGAATCTTTCTCGATGAATTTCTAAGGAAACAAAAGGTATATAAATGAGAAACTTGCCTAAAAATTTCAGGATCTTTTGAGACTAATTCTTTCTAGAGTTAAGGCAGGGTTTAGTTTGCAATGTATCTAATATATCTGACCTCTCCAATACTTAAAGCTAGTAACTTGTTCTTTGGGACTACTTCTTGGCCAACCCAGACAAAGATTTCTGAGTGACAGTCTATGATAAATATATCTTCGGTCATCAAGTCATCCTGTGTGAAGTTATATATCTCTGTCACCTGCCAAAATATCACAAGAAAACAAAAAACTTGGGATTGAGCTACGTTCCAAAGCATTTTCTTCCATTGTGACAAAAAAGATTTTTAAAGTATACGCACCTTCAGAATTTCTGGATAAATTTGCATTTCAGCAATGAAAAGAAGAAAAAAACAGAGTCATTGTGTGCATATATCATCTTAGGCTTAAACTTTATGGGGAAAAATGTTATGATCATTTGTACCTTTTGTGAATGTACAGGAGAACAAGTGAGGGTCACGCTCGGGTTCCTTCGTGAGCTTTTGGCTCGAATATTCAGCTTTGCCTCCTAATAACTCCCAGAACTGTTCTGATTCTGAACCTTCCTTTTGTGCTCTAGCCTGTAGATTTGGCTGAACAAAAAAAAATATAATAGACGCTGCTTAGGCTACACTTAAAACATAATTACGAGTCTTATAATTGATCTGTACTAACTATGATTAACACATAATTGACTTATCCTTCTAGAGACAAGGTGAAACTTATCTTACCTTAATCAGATCGAGCTGCCTTTCGACGAGTTCTTGGTCAGTTGCGGTTGATACATTTCCAGCCCAAGTAAAGACGGAAGAATCATTATGTAGTATGTAATAGTATGAGGAGTTCAGTGATGAAGCAACCTTGTTTAAGTAAATAGACAAAATATTAGAGCCATGAAAATTTATGTCTTAAAACATCTGTGAACTCGATATGTTTCTCACTTCTCAATGATTCTACAGTATCAAACAATGAAGAATGGGAAAATTGACATATACCGGGTCAACTTGTATAGCTTGCATATTTTCTGGACCAGACCCTTGAATGCGGAATAGAGCAAGACCATTCTCATTGTATGTATCATCGTCAACTTCTTTCTCGGCTATGTATTTCTTGTATCCACTGCTAATACCGCCCTGTGATAATCAACAGATCGGTTGCATCAGAAAACAAAATCAGCAGACATTGTATATACTCATCAAAGAGAGAATGGATGATAAAACAAAACCGCATAACGAAATTATTTTTCGCCAAACCTTGAAAACGATAAAGCTTTGCATAATCACGAAGAATTGAACGGGTTCCTTTCCTTCATAAATGCGAGCCTAAGACAAGAGGATGAAAATGTTCAGAAAAATAAAAGAAGATAACATCCAACGGCATATACTTTTGGAATGAGCGCAGCAGAAGATTACTTGGGCTGGGACAAATTTCATTGACTCAACCATTTTGCTTGCCATAGAGACTGCAGAACCTCTTTCTTCCTACACATGATCACAAACTGACAATTTTAAACCTACTTGCAACTTGTAAGGTCTTGCTTCTGCATATACATCAACAGAATCTATGTGACACAATCATGTAAGAGTTTGCCTCTGTTATTTGGAGAGCTCACCTCCACACTTTGTTTGCCGAACCACGTTCCTATAAGAACTTCTTCTTTTTCTTCTCCGGGATAAGAATACTGGAAAACATAACAATCTCCACTGTAGAATTTTGAATGATCAGCAGCTTGAAGGAGAGTCTTTGCCTGACCATTCACACGCCAAACTTGCAGATTTCCCGTACAATCGATGAAAACTTGAGGCTCTTCTTTAGGCGGAGCAGCTTTCATCAGGCCTCTGACATTTACTCCTTGTCGTTGCAAAAGAGCTGCTCAACAAATGACAAAAGAAAAAAACCAATAAAATTTCAGCTACCTGTCAGTATTTAAAACCATTATCCAATTTTGAGTTCAGTATTACGGACCAGCAACTCTGCCTCTACCATCCTCTGACACGGTTGTATTAGTTTCTTGAGTCCAAGATTCAAACTTTGATCTGAATGGTACGGTTTCAAACCCTTCTATTATGCGGATCATTTGCGATTTGGGTCGTTCAGATGAACGGATCATTTCCTGTATGGCTCTACTAACATCAGCAAACATTATGGCATAAAACAAAAAAATATTCAGACTTTCTTCTGATTTAAAAAAAAAAACTTACTTCTGCTGCTCCACTCGCAATTTTTCTATCATCGAGAGAAGTGGTTCTTCCCATCCAAACAAACACTTCAATTCCACAATCAAGAATGTAACACTTGTTTGTATCCAGCATCTCCCTCTTCAATGTATCGCCTTCAACAGGATTTGCCTGTCCCTTCTCGACACTACAAATTCAATAACGAAAATTGTGTTCATTTGAGGCATTATGGGCTCAAAGTATATGTACTATGACGAGAAGATGTTACCAAAATAATTTGGTGATATCGGAATTATAAGTTTTGTCTTCATCATTAGCTGTTTTCCTAGGTAGCGGAGCAAACCCACCGAAGAAACCCCAAAATTCTCCACTATCAGCATCAGCCATAAGTTTCCCATCCTCTGCAAATGAAACATACGCAATTAGAGACCAAACCAAAGAGAAAATAGAGATACTAATCCCTAATCCAACGGCTCACTAACCAACTGTAGCAACTTCACATGTCCCATCATGGTAAGTATCTTTGATGTACTGAACCACTTCCAGTGCTTTTGCTCTCTCTTGGATACTTGAATTGGATCCATTGAATTGGAAAATCTTGGACTTTGTGTCAAGAATGTAAATATCGTCATGGTTTAAAGAACTCCGAGCAAAAGGAACCTGTAATCAATTTAGACCGTTAGTGTATGACTACAAAGTGAGATAAAAGATAACGGATAAAGGAACCATAAAGTGAAATGTGACATGCCTCTTTGACATGGACAACATGTTTTCCTCTGCAGACGAACAAGCGGGTAGTATGTTCTTCAGCTACCACATGTTTGAATCCTGATGCTACTCCACCTTCTTGAGGAATGATACATGGCTTAAAATAAGACAAGAATTTCTCGGTTTCATGGCCTTGAACTTCCCGATACTGAACTGCACGACCTCCAAGAGCAGCATCTAATTCAACTGTCTTAACTGCAGCAGTCCCGGCTTCATCCTAATTTTTTTTAGAAAATTATTTTCTCTCAAACTTTTCCGTCATTTTACAAAACAAAAAGAAAAGATAAAGGAAATATGATCAGGGGTTTACCTGAGAGGTATCTTTACCAAGCCAGTAATGGATATCATGGCGCAATGCACCAGTTTTTAACGCCGTTGTCTGGTCACAAAAGATCGATCACCAGAAATAGATAAATTTAACCAAGACTCGATGAAGAAAACCCGCATAAAATGGCAATAAGGAAACGAATAAGAAGTCATTACTAGGCCTTAGATACCTTCAATACTATGTAAGAATCTCCGGTGAAAAACTTCCCAATAGAAGATTTTGGAATGGGGGTAGGGAGGAAATTCTCTATACGCCATATCTCAATACCACTAATTTATTGTCAAGGAGAACATCATGCAGATATTCAAACATAAATGTAAAACACAGCATCTTTACTATAAGATCTTTTAACAATATAAGATTAAAGGATACGCTTTCTGTCCAGCTCCTTGGAAAGCTGGATCTAAATCTCTCATGGAAACAGACATACTTAAGCAGACTTTACCACTTTCTCCAACTTATGAACACCACAATGATAGAGAAGACTAATAATAACCTATAAGACAGCAGCAACTAAGAGTAAAATCTCAAGAATCAACAAATGCAAAATCAATCCTATCAAAAACCAATCAAAGGACACATTTTAATCGCAGATAACGCATCACAAGCAATGAAAAAAAGTTCTTGTTATATGCATAGTTTCAATGAAAGCCGAAGAAACTAATATCGATTATCATCATTAGTCATTAGCATACACTAATCAAAATATCAACTCAGAATCCACAACGGTCAACATCATTCATCTCAAGTCAATCTCTGTCAAAATGCAAATAAACAAAAACTCTGAAATTTATGTTACATTGGTAGTAGGGTTTATGTAAATTTCAATTCCCCAGACTAACAAAACAAACATTGATGAAACCAAAGCAAGACTCAGAAATTCGAGAAAAGAAAAGGAAGAACATTTCCATTGAACATCATCATACTCACCGAACCAAAACATTTCAATAAACAACATCACAAAACCCAAGAATAGATAAAGCTCAAAGATTGATGATGTCTCTCTACACAAATCTATCTCACTAATTAATAAAAACTAAAACTTTGGCTTTTAAAACAAACTTATCTACATGAAAATTTCAGATATCCAATCAGATCAACGCAACTCTAAAGAATTAATCTATATCCACAACAAAACCCAGAAACTGAAAAATCTCAGAAAAACAAAAAAAAAACGAATAAATTCGAAACGTTTCAGCAATTACCTTATACAAATCCGCTATTCAGCTCCAAGCCCAGATCCAATCTAATAACAAAAATTGCAAAAGAAAAAAGGGTACAAAACTTTGGTCAAAATTTTCGACGAAGCAAAAAGATGAACAGAAGAAGAAGCAGAGGAAAAAAGTGAAAGAGAGAGAGAGAGAATTGAATTGAAAGCTTTATTTAGAGAGAGAAGTTGATAAACAATTGAAGTCTAGAGAGAGAGAGAAGAAGAATTAAAGAGAGAGAAAGGTTGGAGGGAATGATGAGAAGCCAGGCGTGCTTATCACTAACCCAACAACACGAGAAGAGAAGAAACCCATCAACTGTTTATTTCTTCATCCTTCATTATAAAAATTAAACCTTTGGAGGAGAAACTAAAAATCGAAACTTTTTTACGGTTTTATGTTTGGTGGTGATTTTTATGTCGTTACCACTTCTGGGTTTTTCTGACCATATTGTAATGAATGGCGCAAATCTTATTTATTTACTTTAAATCCCATTTATGTTTTGATTACATGTAAGTGTAACCTTCAGGTTTAGGACAACAATCTCATAACAAAAAATTGAGTGTCTTCAAGGGTTAGATATGTAATTAAATCATCCACAATTAAATTTGGTCACATCTCTTTTTTTTTTTTTTTTTTTGATTTACAGGTAAGATATTTGGTTATTTCCATAAAGTCGAAGCTTTTATCAGAATTTTGTTTATGCTCCTAATGCCGTTACTAACTATGGAGTCCTAACAATATATTTAAGGAATCTGAATTAAGGTTTATAATCGTAATTATTAGCTCCTAACATCAGATTTGAGTAAGAAATAAAATATTGTTTCACCAAAAAAGAAGAACAAACAAAAGGTACTAATACCTTTAACTTTAAGGCTGTTTGTCACACTTTTTTTTTTTTTTCTCTCTCTCTTTCCAGTTTCCAGTCTTCGTTAATCAATAATTTCAAGCTTTTTGATGATTCATTAGCAATGGGTTAGTTTCATGAATTAGAAGAAAGAAAGTTTTTTTTAAAAAAGTCTTATGAATGAATTAATTAGCTTCCTTAGGTGATTAATTTAGACCAATCTTTGTTGACAGAAACATTGACCAAATTTTGATCATATCAATAAATTGAAATATCTTTGATAAGTAGTTTAGTATTTTAATATTTTTTGCTTATGGGTGTCAAACATGAGTTGTACTTTGGGGTTTCTTAATATTTATTTTCTATCTTAAAATATATTTCCTCTGTTACATAAGGAGTAATTTCTTTTAGAATTCTCATAAATATTTAATAATTAACTTCTTTTAATAATTTTTATTTTAAAGTGTTTATTAGATGAACTAAATATTGTTTGATTTAGGTTAATTTGTTTAATTTTCCAAGATCAATCCAAATATCTTTTTTGACATCAATTAAAGTAATATAGAGTAAATAAAAATCATAAAACAATTTCATTTTCAATTTTATTTAACATAAGAGTAAATAGATTTTAATGTTTTTTTGTTTTTGGAAAATGTAACAACATACAAGAAAGAGATAGAAAGATCAAACACAAGAATATTCTTTTACAGAAATTAGGACCACTTTATCTAGATTTCATCTGCTTCTTATCTCAAATCGTGAATATACGTGCATTACTTGTGATCGGGTCAAATTTAATAGTATGTACCAAAGACTTCATCAGTTACAAATCTCTTGTTAAGAATTAGAAAATATATTCTATTTTTTTTAAACAATAATAGGAAAAATAAAAGAAAAACTTCTAAATAGATGATTAGTTCTACACTAAAGCAATTATGGACTAATAACGATCGTCTTTTAGTTCGGTGATGTGATGAAGTTTTTTGACGATACGGTCAATTATATACACGTCCACAACTATACAGAGATAATCATACAAAACTTACTAATCAAATAATGTAGTAATTTATAAACATATTAGCATAAACTTTCGTTGCCGATCGATAAGAAAATATTACCATGACCTTTGTATGATTTGGCAGTGTTTATATGGGACCAAAGTGAGCGAAATATATTGTTTTATGGAGTGTTTTCGCAAATATATTTTTTCCACCTTATTAATGTGTACGTCCAGGGGCGGAGCCACATGCATGATAATGGGGTCACTTGACCCCAATAGAATTTCTGAAATCATAAGTACTATTAAGCATTTGTTTAATAACTTGGTTTGGTCTACCGTACTTGACCCCATCCTGTGATGATGACTGCACCCATCACCGTTCATTTTTTTTTTGAGTTCAATTTAACTCCCTTATTTTTTTATCACGCATTGATTACAATTTACTTTGAATATTATCATTAATAAATGTAATTTTTCTCCTATTCCTAGTTTCCTAAAATGATTTGTTTCCTTTACTTTACTTTGGTTTCTTTTTCTTACAACAGTTTTTCTTTTACTAGAAGGATTTCTTTTCGTACTTACTTTTTTGAAGTTATTCATACACTCTTCTTTAACATTATGTATAGTAACTATATATAATTTACAAGAAAAAATTAGCAAATACAGAGAATTTGATAAATGATTTTTTTCTAGGGTTAAAGAAACAAACAAATAACACATTTGTAGTTTTGAGTTTTAATTTTTTTTTTATTATGTACGCTATTACTGTTTTTATGCATACAATTATGACCCCGACAAAACAAATTTCTAGCTCCGCCACTGTGTACGTCCGAGTAATAAAAATGACAGTATCTCTGAATGTGCTCAATAATTGTGGAGTTAGTTTATGGTTGGTCACGGATCATAAAATTTTACCGTCTAAAATGAGAGGAATACAAAACTTTGTACAATCATGAATAAGTTTTTGTTTATATCGCTAAATTTTTACTATCATTTCGTTTTATCGTAATAGTGCTTAATACGAATGTTGATGATACAATTTATGTCGCGGTAGTACTATGTCACCAATCAGATTTATTATGCGTAGAAAGTATTTCTTTTTTTTGGGTAAGAGAATAAATAATCTATAAAGTTTCAAGAAATGTATACATCAAACTAAATTTTATATTCAGAATAAAATAATGACAAAATATCAAAACCGACCAAAGTAAAGTACACACTTTCGGCTCCAATGTATAATGATTTGACGAAAAGGACAATGACTTGGTCATTTTTGTTCACAAAGACTATCGTATATTGCCGCCGGCACCGTGGAAAGTGATGGTCGGAGCCGCCGTGAATCGGTGAGATACTGTGGCTTATTATTTATTTTGTTTGACAATCTTTGGGAATATCTTGTTTAAAAATAAAACTAACAAAGAGTGTGATTGTTTAGTGGCAGACAAGAATCAATATATATAAATTTATATAGTTTGCGTAAATCATGTCTTAATTATCGATTACTATTTTCCAAACAAAAGATAATTATCTTCTCTATTTGACATACCATTACCTACCCATCTTCAACACAAAAACAACACAAAGGCAAGACCGCAAGAGTCTACACAAACAATCCTTCATTCTTTAAAAGTCTAAGAACATTTATTGCGCAAATTAAATAGTCTAAAATACGCTATAAGTTATTTCTTCGTTTATTGCGCAGTCTATTTTTAATAAAGACAGATTATAATATTTTTTTGTTTAAAAGGTAGACAATAGTTTTGTGAAACAAAATCTTAATCATATTAGGCAAAAACAGCCCACCAAAAAAATATTAGGCAAAAACACATGGTTATGGGGTTTGGATTTTTATTGTATTTTCACGAAGGAATACAATAAGAACAAAAGTGACCATTGTCTGGTCTTAGAGAATGCCCAACTTTACAACTTCAAAAAGAGAGCAAATCCCATTGCCCCCAGCCCCAAAGAGTCTCCCGCAACATGAGAAGTAGAAAAATAATTGCAAGTTTTTCTAGACTTTTCCTCCATACTTGAAATTCAACTTGTAGTCTTGTTGCAGGGTTGCTAGAGAGTTTCTACAAGGACCTTCTGCAGAAGAACAAAGAAAGGCCAGAGACAAACAAATTATGTCCAAAACCGATTCCTAAAATTAGAACATTAAAAATATAGATGTGGCAAAGTAAAAAGGGTATTTATTTACCACCAAATACTGTATGGAGATATTGAAGATCGTTAGGTGAGCAAGAGTCTATAAGAGCATACACACCAGGCCTTAAAGCTTCATCTACCTCCCTGCAAAAGTTGCAAAATCAATTAATTCGTATTTACTTATTTTGGTGGCATCCTAAAACTTGAGGACAGACACCACTAAGCCATTCTTACAAAAGGGAAAATGTATGAAGAGAGATGTAAATGGGAGAAGAATGTTACCTTTCGAGACCCGTCTTAAGAGGTCCATTTCCGGAAGAAACCCATATGTAAGTTGACAAGAACTTAAAACAATGCTGTCCAAAGACCTCCTTCTGCTGTCTTAGCTGCAATCCAGTTGTTTTTAGAGCAAAAATGAGACACAGCTAGTTGTATAATCATTAAGATATCCGATCTTATTTGCAATATCCGTTGAAACGAATATGTAAACTTAGTGGACAGCTTCTTAGTCCACAATATCGGTAAAACTGAAATAGTTTTGCATTCTCAAACACAAAAGGAGGAAAGGGTAGATGCATTGACGTACCTCTTCATAGATCCTCCGGAGGAAACAAGCACATCTAATTCCCTCTTCCACTTCCCATGAAACACAATTACCCAATTTTTTTCCTGCTGTCTCCAGACTATGAAGAAGCGCAGAAACAGATTCTTGGAGTGTAGCAATGGACCCCTCAGTTTCACTAGATGTTGATATGTCACAGCAATAACAAAATTAGATGCAGTTCTAAGATGGTAAAAATTTAACAGGACGTTGTGTGTAAGCAAAATAAAATTCTACTTACCTCTTATGATGCTTAACAGCTGTATATAGTAGTCGGCAGCAAGCAGCATACAGACTCACTGAGAATTTCTTGTCTACTTGAAGATCTTTTGAGCTTCCTAAAAGATCTTGTTGCTGATCATCCTTAGATAACAAATTTCCATCCAAAACCGAGAATCCCACCCTTGTTGCCTGGAGGTAATCAAGAAAAATTGCTCCGGGTATATGTATGGATTGGCTTATGTGCGATGAATCCATCCGAAACAAAGCGTGTTTCCCTGCTATTCTTATTAAGACTTCGACACACATGAGAATGACTGACCCAGAATCCGGAGAATTGGAACCCTGGTTGCCGACGACTGCATTTGTGAAGAAAATAAATGGACTCTGCATGTGAGCCATTATACCAAACACTGCAGACAGTAAGCCTTGAATGTGCCTTTTAACCACATTCAAACGTTTGCGACCTACAAAACAATTTTACTATTCAGTCAAATAGGCAATAACGATACCTTCAGCAAAAATATCAAAATTTAGGTTCACAATGTGTTTCAATGACACCACAAATACATCCTACCGGAAAAAATGGCAAATAGATTCGTTTCATTACTGTAAGTTCACTATTACAACTATTAACATCAACTTTACTAAGATTGCCTTTTAGATAACAATTTTTTACCTGTGGCATGTTCCAGAATTAGATCCAGACAGTCAAGACCAGCAGCAACAGTTTCAGAAATTCTGCCTCCGTCTCTATTTCCAGTCTGTATGCTATAGATAGCTGGGCAGACTTCCCATACTCCAACCAATGCTCTTTCTATAGCCTGTACTCCAGACAATAAGTGTAACTCTGAGGAACTTTGTATAAACACTTTAAATGACATCCTAAGCCTCTGTTTTAATTCATCCAACCAATGCAATCTATGAGACCGGTTTTTTTCTGATAGCACTAGCTTAGCATGGATTGCATTAGTACCAAATCCTGTCTCATGAGATTCCAAGGTAGCCTCTTTTCCTTGTAGTGATATGCATTTCCCAATCACCTTCAGGTGCAACTCAATCAACTTTGAGTACAGATCTATGTTTAATGTAGGATTAGATAAGCAGAATTGGCTCCCTAATTCTTCTACAACTTTCACTGCACCATCCAACCAAATAAATGAGAATTCAAGTGGTGCCTCGCTCATGTCAGCGAATACAGACAGTAGATCATTCGATATGTTCGTGAGAACAGAGACAAATGTAGGTGAGAAGGTAATGCCATCAATCTGTAGGTTTAACCTTAAAATAGCAGCAGAAGCAATTAACAGATGCCTGAGTGCCAATACTACTTCTGAAGAATCACCCTTTATCAAGCTCTCAATAATTTTCTTTTTCACATCGTTAGTCTCTACTATGTCACCACACACAAGACCATTTAAACCCTCGGTCCCATCAAGCAATCTGGTCCAGTTGATATTGGTTTGGATTTCTCGCTGCACATCACCACTAAGAAACATACACTGTGCAAAAACCTCAAAAAAATTGCTAAGCACATGGATAATGAGGGAAAGCTTTGAGAACTGTTCTGATTTCCATCTCAGTTTTGCGTTCTGATGATTCTTCTGCATATCTCTGTGACTCACTGCAGATGCTAATCCCCACAACAACCCACTAAAACAAGAAAATATAGGTGTTAACTTGTTCAGTATCAGACTCTCACACTTAAAGGCTGTTTTCTCATCTCTGAAGGTACCCCTCAAAGCTTTTAGTAGAGTTTCTGCCTGTTCTGTCAAGCTCTCAATTATAAGGTTCCCTTGTCCAGTTCCCTCAGAAATTTCTGATGAAATGAGTTGTTCATCAGACAATGGTAGTGCCTTGCTGAATTGATATTTACTTACGGTGAGAAACATATATGATGTGTGATCCATCAAAGAAAAGAGGGTGTTCCTTGCTTTTCCTGTAAAATCATTCCTAAATCTCACTTGACAAGTAACCACAGCTTGTGCTGATTTGAAAAGCCAAGAAGCCAACAACGAACTATCAGATAAAGGCAACTTGGTAGCTCCTAGTACCTTGTCGCAAGAAATCATAGTAATACTTTTCAAAGTTTTTCTGCAAGTACTGAAAAGGCTGAAAAGGTTTCGCATATCACCCCGAGACAGCTTGTTCAAACATCTCAACATGCTAAAAACTATAAACCTACAAGAGATATTGACAAAAGTAAGATTTGTTTAAGTGTTTGCCAATGAAATTAAGGATAATTGACACGCTTTACTGCAGCAAACATACAAGAAAAGTATATGCTATATACTATCATTTACCTCTCAAGGTCGAGAACATAACTTGCATAAAGTTGGAATGACTTCTTATTCATATACTCCTTGGGCATCACACCTAAAAGATTTAGCAAATTTTGACAAGCTGTGAACTTCCGATTGTCCAGCTGTGACACATGTGCCTCTAGAAAGGCTTCTGATTGAAGCTTTCCAGATAAGTTAGCAATTGAACTTTCAAGCAAAATTAACACCTCTGACCAATCTGATGGAGAATCAAAGTTTACTTCTTCAGTAATATCCTTGAAAAACGTTTCTGCTGTCATTTTCAGTACGTGAGAAAAACTCGGGGCCAAATACCTGCGAACAAACTAGTCGGAAAGCTCAAATGAATGTCTGGATATAAGCGCTTAAAGAAACAAAGTAAATATGGAATTGGATGATTTTGCACAAAGAAAGATGACTTACTTCGTGCTCATACAGTACTGAATCAAATAGAAGTCCTAACGAGAACTGTTCCAACCCTATTTTCTTCTTTTGAGTGCCCTTGTCTACATTATTCTCCCAGCCAAGAGTAGACATACCCACTCCGTTCAATATACAAGGAACGGAACTACCTATTAGCTGAGACAGGAAATTCTTCAATTTCTTTTTTCCTGCATGGGGGCACCAAAGATCAATATGCTGGCTAAGAATCCACAAACGCATAGTAGGCAAACACTTCCCGTTGATGCCGGAAACCCTCAGAACCCACTGGTCAGTGTCTTCTATCGTCTCAAATGTTCCAACATTTCCTGATATGATGTTGTTGCCTAGAAGGAAATCAGTAAGCTCTTCTCCTTCACGCTTAAGAACTGATACATGCTTGAGCATTGTATCATGTATCTGATTATCACTTATCTGTGACACATAATCAAGTGATTTTATGTGGCTGTTTAAATCAACAAGTCTCTGAAGAGCGACTCCATACAATATATATATCAGCAAGGAGCAATCTGCACTGTCATCCTTAAGGTAAATAGCTGAAATGTGTTTAATAGTGTCAACAATGGAAGCAGAAGGTTGGGAGATCCACGAAAAATAGCCTTCATAATTCCAACTTTTCTCTTTTATCCAATCGCTTCCGCAACGAGCTGCAACAGAGTCGCCCTTAATACCAGCCATATCTTTTGTTTTTTTCGGAGGCATAAGACTAATCACCTGCCTATATAAGCTTCTGGAAGACATGTAAATACGCAAGACGAAGATGATAAACAAGCGCACAGAATTTCTGTAGGTCTTTATCTTCTTTTCAGCCATCATAATTTCCAAACCTTTTCCGGTGACAGCAGAAAGGAAATTTTCAATGCAATCTGAGTCTGAAGAAACCAGGTGGGTTAAGCAAGGACTAATGAGATCCAACAGATCTTTCATGGACTGGCCAACAAGGTTACTATTCCCTGTTGTAATAGTTAGTGAGTCGAGAATAAGTGAATAAATATCAGACAAAGATCCGGCCAAGAATGCTGCCACCTGTCCATCTTGTTCTGTAGCACCTGTTGAACAACAAACTTGTTTTATCCATTTCATGGTTTTTGATACATCTGTAGTCAAGCTCTTGATACTACCACTTGCTTGGCCTTCTGGTATCACTTTAATAGCTCCATGTATAGCAAGTCTTAAAGCTTGAGATGACAAGAGCTTTTCCACTGATTTTTCACTTCTTTCTAAAGGGAAAGGGAACACAGTTGATAGTGGGAGCTCTTCGGTATCAATCATCTCATCATCATTACCATCAGCAGGTGTCACAACAGGTATCACAAGCCTTACAGCTTTGCACAGAGAAAATACAGCAACACTTACCTACATCACAGGGGGGAATTAGCATTCATCAGAAGGAAAATAACAACATGACAGATACTAGCAATAAAATTTTGACAAACCTGGCGGAGGTCACTATATAAATTTATCAGCTGGCATCCAAGGGCAAGTAACAATGAAGTCAACGGGCAGTCATCTTCTGAATTCTCTGGTGACAAAGTACTAAACTCCAGGAAAGAGAGAATGATTAGCCACAAAGTAACTAAATCACTCTCAATGATTTCGTATTCAATATGTAACAGGTAGCCTATTGCGGTTACTAGCTCCTTGGCTAACAAAACATGCATCTCTGACCCATCATCATATGGATAATGATTTTTTAATTCAGAAGCAACTGAAACTATTGTTTTGAAGATCGTCCTGAAAAAACAAGAGCAAGCTCCTCCAGATGCATCCTCTGTCTTCACATATATTCGCTCATGAGCAAAGTTGAACAGCAAACTATTTGCTGACTTAATAGCACAACAAAAATCAGCCAATAAAGGAGCCATTTCAGAGCCAGATTGATTATATCCATTGATCTCAAGTAATATAGGTTCCATAAGATGCAGGAAGAACTCAAAAAGTGATTTTCGTGTCTCCAGGCGGAGGGAACTTGAGTAATGACTTTTTGCAGAAGATACATTATCGTTTGTCGCTGTGTCTTGCAGCTTCCATGGCCTTTCTTCTGCTTGCCCCACATTTGAGGCCTTTGTCGTCATGCCTTCCTGCAACTGATTTGGATCTCTTTGTTGTTTCATCACTCTGTAAATAAATAACCTAAACAATGACCCCATACAGCTCAGCTCCAACTCCTTCTTCATTAACAGCATGTTTTTGAACTTGGTAAAAAAATGCCGATGATAGCTTTTCAGAATAGTTTTGTTCTCTTTCGATTCTGGTAAATACCTTTTCGATCCGCCCAGGCCTAAGAACCCATCCATATGAGCTGAATGAAACAGACCCAGAGATAATATTTCTTCAATCAACCTCATCAAAGTTATTTCCAAATCCTTGTTTTTGTCCTCGCTGAGATTTAATAAACCCAACACATCCAAAAATGGCTCAAAAAGCTTGTCCAGAAAATCAGAAAACCCGTTCTTCGTAGTTGGATGAGTCATTAAGAACTTAGAGAATGGCTCAAGAACCAAGCAAGAGAATTGAAGGACATATCTATAAGCAAGACTATCCTTGATATTCTCTGCAAGAACTTTATGTGTGAGCTTCAGAACTGGTTCAACAGTTGAAAACCACAAGTCTACATTGTCATTGGACATGCCACTTTTCGATGAAAATAACAAACCTAGACAATCAATCACAATACTGTAAACTTCAAAACCATGACCATTCCAGAAGTCAACCTCCGAAGACAAGGACATGTCCAGTGCAGATAAAACATTTTTCGTGATAAACCCAATAGCCTTTAGAAGGTTTCTTGACAAATTTAAAGAGACTCCCAAGATAGATGACTGCTTCAAGCAGAACCTGAAGATCTCCCAACACCTGAAGTCCATATATGGTTCAGAATCTAAATCAACCTTAACTTTAATATTATTCTCTGTAATCAACAGAGACTGGATCCAGTCGCTGAGAAATATAATCAGCCGCGATATCTTAACCGCTTGACATTCTTCATCCTCGTCAGTCCCATTTTCTCCTCCATAACCTTTAACAAAACTGAAAGCCAACTCCACCTTCCTGCAAATCATATTCCCTTAAATCATTCAGTAAAAATTGTACATTTGCTTTATCTCCCAATTCAATCAGAAAACATCAAACACCAAAAACTAAGAAAATCATAAACAACAAACATTTTGCATATGTTCTCCAAATTCAGAAGCTTTAGCAAACTTAAAACAGTAACATCGAAAGAACTTACTTTTTAACGCCCAAAGTTTTGCTCTGCAACGAAAGTATAATTTCAAGGTTCTTCCATGGACCCTCTTCAACAACAATGTCTGTAACCGTTTCCTGCTGCTCACAAGCATTGGTTTCTACGACCTCAACCGGAGAATCATCAAATTGGGATTTAGGGTTCTTCTTCGTCTGCTTTCTCTTCTTCGACGGATTAGATTTCTTCGGACCCGTACGCTTAAGGTTCTTCCGTTCCTGTTGGTCACATGATTTGGTTTCTACGACCTCAAGTGGAGAATCATCAAATTGGGTTTTAGGGTTCTTCTTCGTCTTCTTCGACGGATTAGATTTCTTGGGACTCGTGAGCTTCCTTTTCAACATCTTCCAAGTTACAAAAGTCTAGTGAATTGGGTTAGAGAGGAGAAGAAGATTGATTTGATTATTACGGCGGCGAAAAAAGGAGAGTGTAGTGTGAGAGAACCCTTAAACCCTACCGGTGAGTCGGTAACAAACAAATCGACGGCGACTGGTTTTTTTTGTCGGCCAATGGATTCATTGATTAAAAAAGCCCATTGGGCATTACAAGTGATGAGAATATCAAAAGCCTAATAATCTCCTCCAGTTACAACCTTGGTTAAAATTAAACACAGCTTTACAGTTTACTTACCCTTTAACTAAAACTCTTTTCAAAAGTCAACTCTAAGTACAAAGATTTTTAACATGATAAAAATGTGATCAACTTGAATTTATTTAGTATGGTGTTTGGATGATTATCACGGTAAGACTTTTTGTAAGAGACACTCTTGTTAGACTTATAGTAACATTTGACCCCCAAAAAAATGAAATTATTACAGTGACCTCTATAAAGGGTATTGTGTCATCATTGGTCAACAAATTATAAATGGTTGAGTGTTTAAAATGATAATATGGTTAATCATATCATATTATCATCGTTTTGGGCACTCACATATAACCTATTTTCGATAATACATGTTTCTACATTACATATTTCTATCAATGTAATATCTTCTGATCTAAATATAAAGAACTAGTTACATCATCAATAAGAGTATAAGAGTAATACAATGAAAAGTCGTCTATCAAATTAAAGTTCATGGTTACAAGTTGACAGGAAAAAAAGGGATTATGATTATTAGAAAATGGCCAACTCATTCAAAACAAATCTGTTATTATTATTTTACCGAATATTGAAAGACATTGACTTATTGATCCGTATTAGACACGGGATTTCAAATTTAATTTGCATGTAGTCAAATAATTAAACATATGTTGAGTACACGGTATAACCTTCTCAATACGGCATTTGTAACCCTTTTGATAATTATTAACCAATTAACTAAATCAATTTTCATATTCTTTTGTACCCTACACGGCCACGATGTATATATATTATATAATATATACATCTTTGTTCAACGGTAAACTTGCATGACTTTTTCGCAAAATAAACTTCTATATACACTACTCTTAGGATGTTGAGAGATAAACTATAATGAAATTTTGATAGATTTTTTTTTTTTAATTTTGATGATTTCATATTTTTAAAGAAAATATTGGATACATTTACAAACTTGATTTTTAGCCCAAGTATATTTTCAAGTTGGTAATTTCACTAAAATATCTTTTTGGGAGTGAATTGGAACATCTATACTATTAATTGGGAATCATTAAAACATAAGTAACCCTATTTTGGTAGAATATTTACAGAAAATGCCATTGAAAATTTGAATATAAAGAAACAAAAAAAATTCACGTGGAAGGGTAAAAAAAAAATTTCCCATTTTAAGAAACACGCGGATCTTGGATCTTCAATCGGATCTTCTAATATTACAAACGAAACAACACGCGGATCTATATTTGCTGAGTTGGATGATCCGAATAACAGTCCCTCTCAATATTAATGGGTTGGATGACATTTTAGATGGGCTTCATATTTGACAAATGGGCTTCGCCGACAATCACAACCTCACAATTAATCCCAATATTGTTTGAGATACTCTGGATATTAATGACACATAAACAAAATGGTTAGTTATCATTCAAAAAGATTTCCATAACAAACAAAATTATTCAATATCCATAACTACATAAATTTCAACAGATTTCCATAACAAACAAATCTTCGACAATCTTTTTAGCCCAATTTATCATAATCACGATTTCTCAATTTATATCTAAACAAATTATTTATCTTAACAAACAAATTCAATTACCAAACTCTATCAAAAACTAGATATTGAGATATGTTTAAATCGAGAATATACCCTAAAATTCGAGCATCTACCTTATACGGTTGTTGATTTAATTCTCTAAACCCTAAAATCTGCTTACCTCCCTCAACTCATATAAATAGACGCCTAATGTGAAAGTTCAGAAACACACTAACATTTCATAAAAGCATTCTTCACTTTTTACTATTTCGTAACCATTGCTCAAAATCACGGTATCACCACCCTTGCTGATGTGAGACCTTTCAAGACGAATTGGAAGATCCAAGTGAAAATTGTCCATTCTTGGACACAATACATGCAATTCGCTGGTGAAACAACAGAAATGATCCTTGCAGATCAGGCTGTAAGTATAGATTATGTGCTTCATTATATCTTAAGATTCTTTACTAATTACAATAATAATAACTATGTTGTTATCTTCTATATAGGGTACTTTGATACATGCTACTATTTATTTTATTATATAACACATTTTTATTATGACAAATGTTGCATCTTTTAGTAAATACACTTTTCTGAATGTATAATTAATCAAACTGAAAATAAATGTGTGTAATATTGTTTATTCTAAAGATTGATATTTTCACTATTAATTACATAAAACAAAACAATACATTTAAATTACAACTTTATGTAAATCCTATCGATTCAAAATAACAACCCGCACGTACGTGCGGGTCCGGATCTAGTTGTTACTTTATTAGTGGATGGAGATAACGATAAACTATTTGTGGATCATTTTGAAGCTGTCATTGAAAGCCTGTAATGTATGGTTTGATTTCATTTGCATTTGGTGAAATCTGGCATATCTTAATTCTTAACCAAACTTTTTGCATGGGATCGTTATGCACTTGTTTGGTTTGAAAGATTTTGTCTAAGCAATTTTTTAGTAAAGAGGCGTATTTTTAATTGAGTTTCTAATATATTCCTTATTGTTACAAACAAGTTAATTCAAACCTAAAAATATTTAATTATATTTTTCATATTTTTTCGTACAAATAAAATTTTACAGCCATCATATAGTTGCTAATAGAATATATAGTTTGAGAAAGCTTAAAAAAAAACCTATTTGTATGCTTTTTAACAAACTTTTTATTAAAGATAAGTATATAAGTATATTACATGACAAAAAAAAGTCAGTATTCTTTGGTTTAACAAAAAAATAATATTATCAACATGTCCATATTAAAAGAGAAGCCTCTTAATTCATGCAAAACAATATATATAGTTCTCCAAGTCTCCCTTAATTCACTGACTGCCTCATCCTATATATAGTCGCATAATTTTCTAAATTGTAGAAGCAATCCCATCTAACAATCAGATTTGCAACTCCAGTCCATATAATCCACAATAAGCCAACTTTTCTTCTTCTCTCATCAAGCTTTTTCTCTCCTCACTTTTCGTGTACTTCGAAAATGGTCGAGGGAGAGTCCAAGGCATTGTGGATTATTGTGGCCACCGTGTTTGCAGTCGCGGCGGTCGCACCAGCGGCACATGGACAACAAGCGCCGTGTTACTTCGTGTTTGGAGACTCTGTCTTCGACAATGGTAACAACAATGCCTTGAACACCAAGGCCAAGGTCAACTATTTACCTTATGGTATAGATTTCCCTCAAGGTCCGACCGGTCGGTTTAGCAACGGTCAGAATATGCCAGACGTCATCGGTTAGTTTTCTTGATTTAATTAGATGAATCCATTTTTACTTACGTTATTCGATTATTATAACTAACTATACTATGTCATATAGCCGACCATGACCGGGTTCTTTCAGAAAAAATTATAACGATAGTTGTCCATACTCCATAGTCCATAGTGTTAAAATTGTATATGCATGAACTTTTTTTTTTCAAAAAAAGAATTCAGGTTAACTTTAGAAAAATACAGCATTTTATATTGTCTTTTCTAAAATTACCTGTATATGCATGAACTTCTTTTTTCTTTTTTTTTTCAAAAGAAGAATTCAAGGTTAACTTTAGAAAATACAGCATTTTATATTTTCTTTTCTAAAATCACCACCAAAATCCTAAAATTCTAAATATTCCAAAAAATTGGGAAGGATTCCTAAAATTTCAGTCAAACTTAATTACATCATAATCATAAGATTTAGCTGTATATTTGACCCCAAAAAATCATATATTTTGGTATTAAAGCATTAATATATTTGTAACTAAAATTTATTGTTGTGGAATTCAACAATATTAATAAATTTTTATATTTTAGAAGAAAATTTAAAGTTATCAGATTAATATTCAAGCCTTTTATCTCATCATTGTTTTTGTTTAACAGTACATATTTAATAAAGTTGAACAATTTTTACTTTTAGCTGAACTAGCGGGTTTCAATGACTCAATTCCACCGTTCGCCGGAGCATCACAGGCACAAGCTAACATCGGACTCAACTATGCTTCCGGTGCCGGAGGTATCCGTGAAGACACCAGCGAAAATATGGTAACAACCCCACCCAAAATGATAAATATATTACGTTGTCTCATCTAAACCTAAAATCTTGAACATATAAATAGGGTGAGAGAATCAGTTTGAGAAAGCAAATAAACAACCACCTGTCGGCGATCATAAACGCGGCGGTGCCACGGAGTCAGTTAAAGCAATGTCTATACACAATCAACATCGGAAGCAACGATTACCTCAACAACTACTTCTTGTCGCCTCCTACTTTAGCTCGTCGTATATATAATCCTGACCAGTACGCTCGATCTCTCATACGCCTCTACCGTTTTTATTTGGAGGTAAGTCTTGTATAATGAGTTAGAATAAACAAAGAAACCTAATTAATCTGTTAATTAAACGTAATTCATCAGTGAAGAATCTCATATCTATATTATAATATGTTAGATACAATTTTATTTCCGATGTGGGACATTCTCATATTAATATGTTAATGTATGTGTATAGCAATTGTACGTATTAGGAGCGAGGAATGTAGCTTTGTTCAGTATCGGTAAGATCGGATGTACACCACGAATTGTTGCTACCCTCGGTGGCGGCACTGGCTGTGCAGAAGAAGTGAACCAAGCCGCGAATCTCTTCAACATTAAACTCAAAGCCCTAGTCACAGATTTTAACAACAAACCTGGAGCTAAGTTCACTTATGTTGATCTCTTCTCTGGAAATGCTGAAGATTTCGCCGCTCTAGGTAATTCTATACTTATAAGAAAAACGATGAAATTGTTAAATAAAAAGCTTTTAGTTTTATCAAGAAGCTGTACGTAATCATTCATTTTAAACATTTGTAGGGATTACGGTTGGTGATAGGAGTTGCTGTACTGTTAATCCGGGGGAAGAACTTTGTGCTGCGAACGGACCGGTTTGTCCAGACCGAAACAAATACATATTCTGGGATAACGTGCATACTACGGAAGTGATCAATACTGTGGTGGCTAACGCAGCGTTTAACGGACCTATAGCTAGTCCGTTCAACATATCCCAGCTTGTGAATTAATATTAGGGCTTTATATCCATTGTTAAAATGGCATAGTCCTTTATGTAAGACCTGGTTTCGTCTAGATGGAAACCATATATCAGACACATAATAATAATCTCAGCAGATAGACTGAATAATGAATAAAAAGGATTGAAGTAGTTGACCCAAATTTAAAAGGATTGCAATTGATCAAAACAAATAAAAATATTGCAACATTATTAGTTACATGCCTTGCAATTTAAAACATATACAATTCAAATAATCATTTGTCACAATTTAGCCTATAACAAAGAATTTTAAATATAGTACATTTTGGTCTACTAACTAAAACAGTCACCATTGAATTATCTTAAGTTTAGACCTAAAAATATTTGTTTTTTTTTTTCCTTCAATCACACAAATCAATCGGCTATAAAGCCTATAATTATAAATATATGGTTTTAAAACATAATTTGAACCATCCGAACAATTAAGAGAACAACCATATAAAAAGAAAATGTTGATTTTAGGTTAGGCCTTTAGAAAGCCCATTAAGGATGGCAAATAATAATAATAAAAAGGCTCAACTAACATTAATTTTTAATTTAAAAGTCAAACCCGATCCAACTGGTCTTTGACTTTCTCTCCTTGTCCACGTCTCAAATCTACGATCGAATTCGAGCTTCTACAGTGACCGATCATGGAAGACGATCAAGAGACCGTTGCCAATAGTATGCCCTGCTCGCTTGTCCTCGAGTTACCTCAATTTCCATTATAATTGGTTCTCAAGTACACTTTCTACGATTCAGGTTTGTCATCGATCTTTACGTTAGCTTGAGTTGATTTTCGAATCCGAAATTGGTTAGGCTTCAATTCTGTGTTGCATATAGAGTGTAGGATTGTTATATACTGTTGAAGATCAAAGACAACGAGCAGACCCAAGAGGAAGAAGATAACAAAAGATTCATCTTTATGTTTTTGTTCTGCAATTCTTTAGCTTAGCAGAAACAGATTTTTGATACAGATTCTTACTATAAGATACATATTTTTTTGATATGATTCTATTAAGATAGGTTTCTGATTAATATCCCAAATTAGAAGTCTAACTGAACTAACTTTATGTATCTTAATCATACACAAATCTCCATTCATCTAAACTATCTTTTGATAGCAAAAGATGCAGCTTCCAGGGCTAAACTAACCTAAAGTCCTAAACTTTCAATGATAAATTAATAAATAAATGAGAAGTTGAGAACACAAAAGTTTAAATCTTGGTTTGCTCTGGCATGGCTTCCTCTGGATGGGTAACGAGCTTCGAGTGTTCATCAGCTGAGCTAATGGAGAACTCGGCGAGTGAGCTCACTGCAACCGACATTCCATGGCAGAGTACTTTAACTGCAATCTCAGCTAGTTTCTCTGCAGTCATCATCTTCTCCTCTTCTACTTTGTCAGCTTCAACAAGCTCCATCCTCTCTTGTCCTGAGTACTTCCTCGAACCATCTGTTACCGGAGACGGGTCTTCTCTAAGCTGACGAGCATAGATTGCACCCATCCCAGAGGCAAAGAAGTCGAGTTTGTCTAGTACCGGCTTCTCGTTTAACCCGGTGAGTAACCTTGACCATTGGATGCAGACTTCATAGATTGGGTGAGGACAAGACGTTAGTCTGACTTTCTCTGGGTCAGGGTCACATCTGAAACATCTGAGTAACCACCCGGTTAAAGAAAGCACGTAGGATCTTTGGGATGTGATCCATGCTTGGAAGCAGGCTCTCCAGTTTCGAAGCTGAGCCACGAGATGCAATGCTGATCGAGCTAATCTTTGAGAGTTGATCTCCGGTAGTGAAATTGGTTGTTGCTTCTTGTGACGGTTATAAGGTGTGGTTGCAAGTAATAGCTTAGCTTCGTCCAATGTTCGCTTCTGTATCTGGTGACATTCTGCCATCACTTTCCACATCTGAGCTAATCTGTAAAATGCCATTATCAATGTTCTTATCAGTCAAAGAGAAACTTTTGTTTTCAGGAACCAGAAGAAAAGATGTTTTGGCATACCCTTGAAGAAGCTCAAGAAGCTGCGGAAGCAGTTCTTGGTCGCGAAGAGTCTCGATCCTTTCGGAGATAGACTCTATTGAGTGTATAGAGACCTTGATCTGAGTATGTAGATCTCTAATTGTAGCTCTTGTTTTATCAACTGCAGAAGAGTCAGCTCCTTTCACATCCTGATTCCTCAGCACCAAACATTTCTTTTCATATGCAATCCGTATTCGATCTCCAGACTGTCACAACATCCAAGTCGTTAACAAGAGATAGAAAGAGTGAACTGAAAATACTATTAAAAGTCTCAGTTATTACCTTGACTTCATCATAGAGTTTCTTCTCCCACGCATATAGTCGGTCCAATGTTGATTGATGGCTACCCGAAAGCATACAAGATTCTTCCGAAAATTCGCTGTTGCTTTCAAATTCACTCACCCTGGAACCTCCAGAAGAGCTGATCAAGAATCTTGATGAGGAAGAAGATCTTGATGAGCCGCCTGAGCGGAACAAAGCTACTGGGTTCAGCATTGTCATGGCTGCAATAAGAAGTTTCAGAACCGCATTCATTTTATATATATAGTCAGAAACAAAGAAAATTACAAATCTTACCACTGAGTTCATTAGAGGATGTGTATTGAACTCGACTAGCTTCCAACAGACCCGAGACTTCTTTACCAGCAGTACATATGATCGCAAACTGATCTTCAAGATCTTTAATAACTTCTGCCATACTCGTCGGCCTTCGATTCAAGTACACAGTGAAACCAGGTGTCTCTCCTTTTGCATCATCTGTTGTAATTCCAACAACATGCCCTGTAGTTCCTCCTCTGGACACCTCAAGGCTTCGCCGTTCTTGAGTTCCAATGCAGTTCTTGTCCCTTTCATTCTCAGTCTTGCATCCACTGTCTTTGAATTCCTCATTAACATATTCTACTCTATCTTCTTGATCCATTTTACCTCCATTAAAATCTTCTGTTGCTTTCATGTTATGATGATCCTCAAACCTTACATATTCATCTTCTTCAAGATCCGGAATCCCTTCTTCCTCCCGAACCTGCCTCAGCCGTCTCATATCATCATCCATACCACTTTGGTTATCATAACTGTATCCGTAATGGTCCAATGACGAGAATGGATTCCAAAAGAAATCCCACTGAGAGTTCTGTGGCGAAGGAGGCGGTAAATTGTGACTGACTAGTCCAGGACTGTGGCCAGGCGAGTTCATTGTGTTCATATTCATCCCAAAGAAACTATCTGCTCCATAAGTCTCAACCTGGAAAGTATCAGGTGATCTAGGAGGCTTTTCTTCAACCCGAACCGGTCTGCTTCCACTAGCCATCAAGTAGTTGTTGACATTTAATTTCGACTCTGCCTCACTCTGAACCATTTTTGAAGGAGGAGATATCTCAATGAAGCCGCCCGAGTTACTCATTCTCTTCACTGGAGTCACAAATGTGTCCAACATGAACTCATGTGGCTCATCTCCTTCGATATATTCCCGGAGAGCATCTGAAATTTTTCTCAGAGACTGGATATAAGCAATGTGACCAGAAGCAAACCCAGTCCTATGTTCCACTGCTTGTTTGATGAAACGTTTCCTATCTTTACAGATCTGAACAGCTTCATCGTCATCAAACTTCGAATGAGAACATCCCATTTCTCTCCAAATTTCTTATTTTAGCTTCAATTCCAAAAGCTCAAGAGTCGTAGAAAGTGTTGGAGAAACTGCAAAACTAAGAACAAGTTATCAAGATTTTTAACAAGTAATGTAATTAAACGCTTGTCGCTTGAAACAGTTGAAACAAAGCAACATAGCATTGATTATAGAGAGAGACATAAACGTTTCTCTTATGTCTCAGATTCTTGATTTTTGCATAATTTGAAAGAAACAAGACTATAATTTTGTCTTAAACTGTGATTTGTGAGTTCTTGAGAGACGAAACTCCATATAAAATGCAAAATTAATCAAGAAAGAAAACGATGAAGCCACGAACTCTATGCGTTAAATGAGCCTTCAAGGAGCTAAAATCTAAAACCCTTTGCACATTTGTTAACCCTTTTCTTCATAAAGAAAAGTTAAAATCAAAGAAGTGAGGGACCCAAATCTATAAAAAAAACCAAAAAAAGATTAGATATTTGGAAGAGAGAGAGAGGACAAAAAACCTTTCAGGTGTTAAAGGTCAATCAGAAGAAGCTTGTGGTGGAGCGTGTGAAGAAGGAAGGAGAGAGTGAACAACAACGGTCAAAAATATATTTGTGAGTAAGGAGTGATGAGTGAAGAAGGTGAAGAAGAAGAAGAAGACACCACAGATAAATTAATTAAATAATTGGAACATGAACCTCGATATTTACGTTTATTTTCGGTTTTGCCATTGTCCTTGCATTGGTGAAAATCTCAACTCTCAATGTGATTGGTTTTTGCTCATTTTTTGACATCAGTCTCAATGAGTCAATGGTGTTTTTGTTTTGTCTTATTGTTTCACTTTACTTATTATTAGGTGGCGTTATACGACATGCAATTTTGTTTGTTTTATTCATCTGTTAAACTTTTTTAACCAAAGACGTTACTAGCTTACACACAAACAGCTTTTGTTTATTTTATTTACTTCATAAACCTTGTTTTAGTCGTTAATTTATGACATGCAACCTTTGTTGTTCTACTAATTTTTTAACCTTACTTTTTGTTTCTTTGCTTAAAAAATATGATTCCATTCTGTGACAGAAAATAAAAATGATTCAGTTCTAATAGTGTCAAGGATGGACCTACCAACAAGGATTTGGTTTGTCTCATGTAAATGGATTCATAAATTTGGAAAACGACTGAAAACTAATACAATGTTACACTTATGGTTGCATACACACCCCCAAGCGTGGGTATTTTAGTAAATTCAGGGCATCTCCGGGCAGAGTATGGCCCCAGCGAAGATAAATTATTGGCTACCTCGGTACTGTAGTTAGGTTTTCTCATGCCTACCCTTTCATATTTCACTTAATCACGAAACTGCCATTTGGATTACCACCAGACAGTATAAGGCCTCTATTGTTTATTTGATTGGGCATTGCCTGAACCGTTTTTATGGCCCAATGGGCTCTTTTCTTGTTCTTTAATAACAAAAGCTGAATTTGATATTAAAATTTTAAGTGTTGATCTGTTCAAATATTATTATAGGTTTTTTTATAATTAAATATAAATCTTGGTTCTGCTATGTATAAAGATAAATATATCATTGAAATAGAAGTTAGATGGAAAAACATGTGGACAATTTTTTAACTATTAAAGTTAAATAATGTCATAATAACATATACAAATTGAAAAAAACGAAAACTATCTAAAGCATGAAACTTCAATCAAGACCCAAGATTATCTAAAGAAGAAAAGTCTGGTTTTGATATAAATAATCGAGAGTAAATAATAAATATTTGAGTGTGCAATAATCATGCCTTGATTCCAATTCAAAACTATAAAAGTTCTATTCGTTGAGAAAGAAAAGAAAAAAATCTAAAAGTTCTATACTTGAATACTTCTATTACATACAAACATACAATGTATATGTATGTAGTTGATACGCACTTATCAATAAATCATTTAATTACGTATCCAATCTCAGCATTTGACTTTAGAAAGAAAAAAAATCATGGACCAATTAATATAACTTTCCCTATAGAGACTAAAAAATTCAAATGTTATAAATAATAATATAAACCTAAAAAAACAAATAATATCCCTCCGACATCACCCCTTAAAAGTATATCCGCGGAGTATTTGTCTAAGACCTCGAGCTCAACGATGGCAGAAGGTGAAGAGGCCAAGAAGAAGAATTTACAGACAAGTTACTTCGACGTCGTTGGAATCTGCTGTTCATCGGAGGTTTCTATCGTCGGAGACGTTCTCCGTCCACTTGACGGCGTCAAAGAATTCTCCGTCATCGTCCCTTCTAGAACCGTCATCGTTGTCCATGACCCTTTCTTGATTTCTCCGCTTCAAATCGGTAAATAACAAAATTATTAGTATTTTTCAATCGCCGTTTTGACTTTAGTCTTGTCGTCTAATTAAATCATTGGTCTATCGATGAGGCCAAAGTCTAGGTTTGCTTAAAGTCAATTAAGCCCTTTTTTGGTTGTGTAAAATTGATTTCTTGACAGTCAAGGCTCTGAATCAAGCAAGACTAGAAGCAAGTGTTAGACCATACGGAGAAACAAGCTTGAAGAGTCAATGGCCTAGTCCTTTTGCAATAGTTTCTGGTGTATTTCTTGCTCTCTCCTTCTTCAAATACTTTTATAGTCTGCTTGAATGGCTCGCTGTTGTTGCCGTGGTGGCCGGGATATTCCCCATCCTTGCTAAAGCTGTTGCTTCCATCACAAGGTTCAGGCTTGATATCAACGCTCTCACTTTTATTGCTGGTAAAAAGATCAAATCATTTCCTGAGTCATCATTTTAAGTTTTGTTTTGACCATGGAATGTTCTGAATGAGAGTTTTTTTTTTGTTCGACAGTGATAGCAACACTATGTATGCAGGATTTCACAGAAGCTGCCACAATTGTGTTTCTATTCTCAGTCGCAGATTGGCTAGAGTCTAGTGCTGCTCATAAGGTTTGTTAGTGTAGAGTTTCTATATGCTCTAAGCTCTGGTTTTGCATCTATTAGTTGATCATTGTTCTGAAGTAACAACTATTTTCAGGCAAGCACAGTAATGTCATCACTGATGAGCTTAGCGCCACGAAAGGCAGTGATAGCGGATACTGGACTAGAAGTCGATGTAGATGAGGTTAGGATCAACACAATTGTTTCAGTTAAAGCTGGAGAAAGTATACCGATTGATGGAGTTGTGGTCGATGGAAGCTGTGATGTGGATGAGAAAACAATGACAGGAGAGTCCTTCCCTGTTTCCAAACAGAGACAGTCAACTGTTTTGGCTGCAACCATAAATCTTAATGGTACAAAACAAATCATTATCGTGCTCTTCTTATGTATATGATCCTGAATTTTCTTTATAATTGCCACAATTTGTGTATCTTAAGGTTATATAAAGGTGAAAACTACAGCTCTAGCCCGGGACTGCGTGGTTGCGAAAATGACTAAGCTTGTAGAAGAAGCTCAAAAAAGCCAAACAAAAACTCAAAGGTTTATAGACAAATGTTCTCGCTACTACACTCCAGGTTAGGAATCATATTTCTAGATCATAATCGCAATGTAGTGTATAGAGAATGAAATTTTGATCACATTTGTTGTTGTTGTTTGTTTAGCTGTTGTCGTGTTAGCAGCATGTTTTGCGGTAATCCCGGTATTGTTAAAGGTTCACGACCTTAGCCATTGGTTTCACTTAGCACTTGTAGTGTTAGTAAGTGGTTGTCCTTGTGGTCTTATACTATCCACACCCGTTGCTACCTTTTGTGCTCTCACTAAGGCAGCCACGTCAGGGTTTCTGATCAAAACTGGTGATTGTCTAGAGACTCTTGCAAAGATCAAGATTGTTGCTTTTGACAAAACAGGAACTATTACAAAGGCTGAGTTCATGGTCTCGGATTTTAGGTCTCTTTCTCACAATATCAATCTGCAAAACTTGCTTTACTGGTAAGTTTGTATGTAGCTATTCCATAGGAGTTAATCATTTTCGGGTGTATCTTATGAAATTGATTCTAAGAGACTTTTGAGATGTTTTCACAGGGTCTCCAGCATTGAGAGCAAGTCAAGTCATCCGATGGCAGCGGCTCTTATTGACTATGCAAGATCAATTTCTGTTGAGCCTAAGCCGGATATAGTCGAGAACTTTAAGAACTTTCCAGGAGAAGGAGTTTATGGGAGAATAAATGGTCAAGATATCTACATTGGAAACAAAAGAATCTCACAGAGAGCTGGATGCTTAACAGGTTTCAGAACTTTTTAATTTGAACTACATTCGTTTTTCGCGCTGTCTCAAGTGTTTTTCATCTATCTAACCTTAGCAAGATCTCTTCCTTGTGGATGTTACACAAAGTTCCGGAGATGGAAGCTAATATGAAACGAGGTAAGACCATTGGTTACATATACATTGGAGCAAAACTGTCCGGAAGTTTCACCCTTTTGGACAGTTGTCGATATGGGGTTGCTCAAGCTCTCAAGGAACTCAAGTCTTTAGGAATCAAAACTGCAATGCTCACAGGAGATAACCAAGACGCAGCCATGTCTACACAAGAACAGGTGAAGCAGAGTTATTATCTAATCATTCCCCTGTCTCTATTTTGTGAGGCATATAATGAAAAAGTTATAACTTTGACAGTTAGAGAATGCTTTGGATATTGTTCACTCTGAACTTCTTCCACAAGACAAAGCAAGAATCATCGATGAATTCAGGATCCAAGGGCCTACAATGATGGTAGGAGATGGGCTTAACGATTCACCGGCTTTAGCTAAAGCAGACATTGGCATTTCAATGGGGATCTCAGGGTCAGCACTTGCAACAGAGACAGGAGACATCATTCTTATGTCAAACGATATAAGGAAGATTCCGAAAGGGATGAGACTAGCGAAGAGAAGTCATAAGAAAGTGATTGAGAATGTGGTTTTGTCTGTGAGCATAAAAGGAGCAATCATGGTTCTTGGTTTTGTAGGTTACCCTCTGGTTTGGGCAGCTGTTCTTGCAGATGCAGGAACTTGTTTGCTTGTGATACTCAATAGTATGATGCTTCTACGCGATGAGCGTGAAGCCGTGTCTACATGTTACCGTGCTTCTTCTTCTTCGCCGGTGAAGCTTGAGGAGGATGAAACAGAGGATCTAGAAGTTGGCTTGTTGCAGAAGAGTGAGGAGACAAGTAAAAAGAGTTGTTGCTCTGGTTGTTGTAGTGGCCCTAAGGACAATCAACAAAAGTGAAAACCTTCCTCTGATCTAGAGGGTTCTATGTATATAGTATCTGTTTTCAAACCAGAGAGGGACCTGTGTTATTTCGGTTAATCCTCATTTAATCGTTAATAAATCTCCGGTTCGTGTTTAATGATTTAAAATTTGATTTGAACCGAAAATCAAGTTGTTTTATTAGCATGAACTTCAAAATTTATATATATAAATTTTGAATCCATAAATAATTAAATATAATACTTTATCTTTTGAGGTGAATATATTATTATCGTAAACTAATTTGCAATTACATAAGATAATTTGCATTCCAACTATATATACTCCTAATTCCTTAATAATTTTCAAATTAGCATATAAATTTTGAATAGCTTTACTTTACACGCTTTATGTTTTTTTTTTAATCTCTATTTCGATTTGTATGCGCTCAAGATTTTATCTAAAATGTTTTAGTTTTTAACAGACCTCAGATTCCGTCCAAAAACATTCGATAATCTTCTCTCTTTTTTTTTTTGTAGATTTGTGATAATAAAAGAAACCGAGCGAGGTATGTGACCATTGGATAAATCGATGGATCATATATGAATAAGCAGGGACCTATCAGACAAATCATTGTGTCTTTGACGAGTGCTTAAACCCTACATTACTTAATTTCCTACAGTGAGTGTCACATATAATGTTTGACTAATATGAATTGTCACCACCAATAAGAAGAATATCTGTGAAAATTGGGGTCCCTTTTAGGAGTATAATTTTAGATGAAACTATATCTTATTGTTAACGAAAATAAATTATCACCACCATTAATTCATAGATATTATGGCTAGATTTATTTTTTGGAAATTTTATTTTATTTGAGTACATATATTAAAGATTTTCGCATATTTTTTCGACTACTTAAGTGTTAGGTCGATCGACTTCTTTTTAGTGGTATTTCTATCATATTTGGATTAGTTTTCTTTTCTTTGTTAAAGGATTTTCAGATTCGTTTATTTATGTTGTTTAGAATCCGTTTGCAATCCCTTTCTCAATATATGATATTATTGGCTGCTGAGTCGTATACAATCACAATGCACTTACCATTATTGTCTTGATTCCACATGAATAGATTTTCTTATTGTTTGTTCTTACAACAAAATTGAACTTTTTTTTATCAATTAATGTGGTTTCCATTATATAGTTAATAAAATATGTAGTAATAATTACTGTAGTTGCCATATTTTTTAAAAAGATAACGAACAAAGGATTGCATGGGACACATATATGGTCATAGAGATATGTATATATTGGCTAACTTACTTTTAGTTTGATCCTTGATATTGTGGGCTGCTGACGTATGTCCACTAACCTCCTTGTGTTCCATTACAATGACTTGTGCTGATTATACACTTGTATTTTGCTTTTATCGTGGTTTATATGATAATTTTCTAATTTTACTAAGCTTCTTACATGATCACGATAAGATAAATCATACGAAAGAAAAGAAAAAGGAGATTAATGTCAATTCGAGAACAAGCAATGGATCATGAGAGTCTATCTAACATCCACAAATGTTTCTGGTCCCTTCGATCTTTCCCGAAGATTATTTCCTCAAAGGTGATTAATGTTATTGTTGCATCATCTGCACCAATTAAAAGCAAATGATATCGCTTTTTTAGAGAACCTTTTAATAAATAGTTAAATAAGAGGCTAATTGCAAAATAGACCGAATCTTTTTTAGGTCATAGCATATTTTTATATGTCAAGATCGATGCTTGAGCATGTCTTTAACCCTACTATAATGATTGGCATTAAAAATCATTCTTAGATAAAAACTAGGCCATTGATTATTAACACAAAAATAGGTTGTCATTGGTTAGAACGTAACAAAAAGATTGCAGAAATGTGAGGGATTTTTTTTTTAGAATTAACTCTAGTTACGTAAGAGCTTGAGCATCTTAATTTTTGGACTTTTCATATCCACTTATTAGTTTTTGTAAAAAAACCTACAATATTTATTGATCAACAATGTGTATCCATCAACATTCTATATATTCCATATAGTCATATAGATGTCCATATTAGTGCATCATTAATACATAACCCACCACTTTTATAATTCATATTCGAAGACTTAAGTTGTAAAAAGACTAAATAATTAACCTAAAACTAAAAAGCTCGTATTGAGTAACTTGTAAAATAGTATTACGTCAATTTGAGGAAGACAAAAAGAGATAAAGTACATTATTTATCAAATGCAAAATACTTCCGGATGTAAATTACAAGTTATTGAAGAAAAAAATTCTCTGAATTATTCAGAAAATTTGCTAGTGTTTATATATATGTATCATTGTCTTTTCTTTCAAATTATATATTTTTTTCACACAAATTTTTTGATAATCTTTAGCAACAATATATAATAGATTTTAAAAAGGTAAGTTACTATTCTGAGAAAAAGTTCCGAAGTTTCGGGAACTAATATTTTAATGTATCAGGTGGTAGAACAAATATAAGCACAATGACTTATCGAATCACAAAGAAGGATATCTATCATTGCAATTCAAATTAAAATTATATTCCCTTTTTCCACTAGACATGTTTTATATGTTTGTTTATATTATCTATTTAGTGTTTGGCTCATTTACGTTGCCTTTTACTTTGATATATATTTTAAATAAAAGGAAAGCAAGTGTTTGACAAAAAAAAAAAAAAAGGAAAGCAAGTTATTTTGTTTTGTTTTGAGACATTGGGAGATTCCTCCACTACTCGAAACCCTTTTGAAAAAGATAGTGGAAGTGTGCTGCTTAAATTATTTCTAGTCTCTTTTAGTCTTTTTACGCAAATTATTTTTAGTCTTTAAGATCTCAAAGGGACACATTTGTAAATTTTTCAGCTATAAAAAAAAAAGGTCAAAAGAAGTAATAAGTTAGGCTTGTGGTTTTACAGAAAAAAAAAAGTTAGGATTAATTGTGGCCAATAGGAAAAGAAAATTGACAGTAGAAGGTGTTAATAGCGTTAATAATGACCATTAGGAAAGGGAAAAAAAATTGGAGTATATGATCCATATTATAAATAAATAAAGAAAGAAAAAAAAAGACTCTGATGGCTGAGTTTGTTTCACCTCAAAATCATCATTTGTTTTTGTTTGTGTTATGATTTGAAGCATATATGTGGAATACATATAATGCTCAAGATTTTTATAGATGCCTCAGGAAAACATTCTAGAATATGTATTTAACTTAATATTTTTTTGTGGTTAGTGTCTAAATGGCTATACTGAGAAATATGTGCAAGTGAAGATACTTAATTTGAGAAATATTGTATTAATCTGTAGGATTTTCAAAAATGGCAAACTAGTCGACGAAAGAGACCTATGTATTGGTTGGCAATGGTAATTAGGAGTTGCTGCGGTATTACAAATTGAGTTATACTCAGATTCTCTCATAATGTTGTTATGTTGATGACTATATCTTTTTTTTTTTTTTTTTTAAAGGGCTTGACGATTATATACTTGCAGTCCGAAAAAGGACATTAAAAACCAATAATGGAAGATTTGGTGGGAGAGGTCGCATTTTAGCTTCTTTTTTTTTTTTTTTTTTTTTCTGTCAACCTCTCACGAAATTTGTTTTCTTAAGAAAATTGTAGATTAACTCAATCCAATTATCAAAGATTATGATAATTATGATCATGACTATCTTCATTATGATATTGACGACGACGAAAGAATGATATATGACTCATGTTTGCAAGTTGTATTATTGTGGCCTCTATTGAATCTGGAACAATTACATGTTTATCTTTACTATTTGTTTTTATATTAAAACCTGAAATTTAGAACATAACATATTTTAATAAAGAAAATAAATTGTCTAAAAACCTAGTATAGTCAAGTGTTAATACGATTGTGTTTTGTTTTGTTTATGATTAATGCAGAGAGAGATGTTTTTTTTTTGTTTCAAGGGCTTAATAATGCAGAGACTTAATTTATTTTTAATTCTTTGAAATATGTTAATTTTTTTTTAAATCCATTTTTTTAGGTGAACGAAATGATATTTTTTAACGATTAGTGTTAAAAGCTTGAAACTATAATAGCCCACGAACATGTTTTTTACAGATGATTCGATGATAACCAATTGAGCTATATCTTCACAATATCTAGTTATCTACTATGTGATATTTTTTAACCAAACATGTGCATAAACGTCTGAAACTAATCATGGAATCCCTTATCAAAAAAAAAAAAAAAAAACTAATAATAGAAGCTTTTGTTTTATATAGTTTTCAATCATTTGATATTTAAAAACTCAGTTCTATTACGCATGTATGATATCATTTAGTTGTGAAAATAGTAGTTTCTGCTACAAAGATATATATAATATTATTAAAATTATACAACGTATTTGCTGCATTTAAACCAATTGGCTCTTGTAAGACATTACAAGGTTTTGTAATTAAATCCAGCATACGAAAACTAAGAAAGAAATGCAAGAAAATAAAACTAAACTATTCCAAATGAGGAATCACACATGGATTCCATTCTCTAATATTGTACAGTGGATTTTTTTTTTTTTGTCAAAATATTGTACAGTGGATTATTCACTATGTTTTGTATACACTTTTGTTCTCGTGTCTCTCACCTACAAGATTAAGACCTAGTAGTCTTCCCTACAATGATATAATTTCATTTTGGTATGTGAGTAAGTGATTCTCTCAATAACTTTACCATTCATGACTTCATGTAGTCAGATGAAATATATTAACCCATGAATTACCAGTCAACGAGTTGCAAAAATATTTTACGACTACCAAAAACTATTTAACTCAAACTTAATGCATTTTTTTCCCCCAAATATATCAAACGGATTAATAATTTTTGTCAAAGTGTTTAGCGCAATTTCATCTTTCCACACATTTTTTTTTTTTTTTTTTGATATACCCGATCGGCTGATCCGGTCAGCCCTGGGGGAACGCACCGAAGTGCTACCATGTGGACTCACTACCACCCCGAAGGATGGGCTACCACACTGCCTAACCCAAGTTTGGAATGCTTTCCGACTAATGCCCGGGGGTAGCTGGATCGCCTGTTACCAGACTACCAGGTAAACTGCCTGGGCCGAAGCTCAAGCCCAGACTTCCCACAAAGTGTTGATAACAGC